ATTGGATTAAATAATTGATGGATTGGATTAAAAATTGACATGCCTCTAGTGGTGACTCGATCATGATAGTAACTTGTATTGAAAAAGAATCCATAACGCGGTAGACTGCCAAGCTACATAGTCTAAATCGTATCTCTCACATGATTATAACTCTTCGTGTGTATTTGGACAATGTGATTTGCACCATAAATCTCTCTATATCCATAATGATGCATTTGCTATTATGTGGTATAAGATTCATTAACATATTCTAACAACTCGAGATGTATTGATTTCGAATCCACTTAGCCGCCATTTGTTAAGCATATGGTAATAAGACATGTGCAAAGTTAAACCTGTATAGGTGACTTTAATTTTTTTTTTTTACAGAATTTACTAATGGACTACACTTTATGACGGATGGGGATATATAAAAGCATCCTCTTTTTTTTCAAGATACAAAAATTATTGTCCTAAACCATTGATGTTTTACAAAGGTGTAGCAAAGCCATTGTTTGATGAGTGAAGAGGGAGTAAAGTTTCCTAAAGAAGAAAGAAAAGGGTATGATGGGGTCGAGAGGCTGGAGGTTTGACAATGACATGCGATGGGTCATCATCCACAAAAAGGTTAAAAATAAAAAAAAGCGAAATTTCCGTCTTTGGCATCATAGTTGTCGTTTCCCTAATGGAATGAGCAAATGTAGGCGTTGATGGATCTTTTAAAGGAAACCCTATGAAGATCCATTATAATTTTATGGGAAATGATACTATAATAATAATCATCATCATTATCATAAGAATAAGTTTAAAGGCATGTTGTATGCTTTGTGAACCACATAATGACCAATGATTATATAAACACTGCTACGCTACAGGGAATTGATTCATTAATGAAACTAAAGGTTCCATCCTTGTTAAGGATTAGTCCCAAAATATATGTTGGGGGTCTAAAACAAATTTGGAGTTTCATGATTAGCAGTAGTAGTATGCATCTATCAAAATCGCCAAAGATTACATAGTCTAGCGGTGAAACCTTTAGTGAGCGCTCGTTTCAGGAAGTGGCATATCCTATGGCCGACCCCACCGAAGCCCGCTATGGTATTCTTGCATCCCGGGGACATTTAATTGGGATCTTTGTGAAGAGCGCAGAGAGCTCAAACAGTTAAACCCGTGTTTGTTCTCGCTCACACATCGCTAATACATATGAACCCTACCCAACAATAATTATCAACCCCATAGATTTCTATGATCATACCGTACCAAACACACCCGCCAAAAGTATATGTGCTTGACCTGCCCATATGGGACATCTTATATTATATTCATCATTGTGAATTGTGAATCTCCACTACTACATCTTCTTGTCCGGGAACAAGATTTGGTAGGAAACTAGAGTTTGATGATCATTCTCTTTAAAATGTGTATATATTTGCCCTCAATTACTATCTCTTGTAGGATTAGGCAAATCACCCTTTCAAGTGTTCCTTTAAGCAAATTAAGTCTGAAGCAGCAATTTGCAGAATTCTGTAATTGTGATATTGAGAAGGAAAACATGAAAAAGAAGATGAATACGTTAGAGCGAAATTTTGACTGCAACAGTGTTTTATTGTGAAAATGGCGGCAGTTCTCTTTTGAAGGGTTACTCCGTTTCACAAATGTCAAATATTTAATTAATTATCTGAAATTATTATAGTGCCTAAATTTTATATTTTTTACAAACAAGTCGAGAAATTTTGAAGGTAAAATTACGTTTTAGTGCCTTTATTTTTTATGCATTATAGTACCTAACCTTTTAAAAATTAACAAATAGGTCCATTGTGTTGGTATGAGAACTTTCATATCCTTAGTTGTTGCTATGTGTCATAGGGCCAAAAAGTGATTCAACTTTAAGTTGACTCGACCTTATCAAACCCTTACATGGCCAAAAGATGACCCGCCTCTGTGCTGATCGTATAGACAAACTGACCCAACTCAACCCTCAGGGGTAGGCCGAGCTCAGTGGCGAACCCACCTATTGCATAGCTGTGTCAACCGGCGCACCTCCGCTATAAGTTTTTGTGAGAGACCCATTATACGTTGGTATAAAAGAATTTAAATCTATGACATCTGACACACCTCTGATAATTGTACCTAACACACCTTCATTACTTTAAAATATATTTTTTGTCATAAATTTATTAAGATATGTAAACAAAAGAGTTATCGGACTTCAATACTAGGAAGCTTGTTAGTTCAGTTGGTTGTACGAGAGTAAACAATTAATTGACTAGTTAGTACGTAGTGAGTATTCATAGAGATATCTATCACGTTAGAAATAACCTTATTTGAATGATAACTAAATTGATTAATAAACAAATTTAGTCAAGTGATTATATAGGTGATTCCAAGTCATGTTTCCTCAAAGCTTCTTTCTTTAGATTTTTTTAAAGCTAATTTTAACTTGCTTTGTAGCTCAGTTATTGCTTATAATTTAATTTATAGAAAATCACTTTTATTCTTTTCAATTCCTTAATTTATTTGTTAAATCTAAATTTGCACGGATCCATGACGACAATATACTCATCTATAATTTGCATACATATTTTTATCGAATCACTTTCCCTTTTTGATATGGCAGGTCAAAGCATTTGAGATATCATGGTCACATGAATTCTAGAATTACATGGTGTACCAATATCATGATATCTGCCCAAAAATGAAACAAGAAAAACAGTGAAATCTCATATATCATGTAATCTTGAAATCTGTGGTAGATTACATTCTTAGCAAACGACCACAAAAGTTTTTTTTTTCCAATTTGTAAATGCTTATGCCGTTATGCGAGAGAAACTGAGCGGACAACGATGCTAATTAGTAGAACACGAATGGAGAAGAAAATCATATAAACAGATTTCATTTCATCAATCGAAGTTTGATTATTCTCTTTACAAGTCAGCATATATATTTTTCCTTAAATATTCTATACAATACACAAAATAAACATATGGTTACATTCACTGATTCACATCCTACAACCAATACAGTCAAAATTGCGATTCTATGTATAACTGTTTTGGTGATCTAGATTCGTGCGTAAGATTTTATGTTTTAAAGCGTAGATTTTGACCACAATTGTAAGTGAAAAATTCGATTATACGTAGAAGCATTTTTGGTGACCTAGGAGTGTAAAAGTAAATTTAAAATTTTAAAACGTGATTTTGACTGCATAACCTACAACAATTACAAAGTTTGCATTTGAGAAAAGATGAAGAAGAACATTTGTATATCAAACGCACGCTATATATTGATCGAAATCTAACAAGATATCAGTGGCAAATCATCATTTGCCTAGTAATAAATAATAATCATTGAACGAAAGAAAGATACATACTTCCAAATAATGAAAAACAAAGATCAAGCATACGCAAAATTATCAACACCATATAATTTCCCAGTAAATGCATTTGCACCACCAGATCTGCTTGACCTGCCCATGGGATATATCACATCATATTCATCATTGCCAGTCTTCCATCAGGACATCTTCTAGATGGGTGGGCTTTTACTCACGAGCCCATGTATTGGTCATGGGCTTTCTAGTTCGTGGGTTTATTGGGCTACGCTGGGCCTAAGTTGAAGAGGTATGCATACAATCCAAGTGAAGTGAAGTCCAATAAACCTGTAGGGAAAAGAAAGGGACCAGTTCAGCGAGGCAGTGGTTTTCCTAAACAATTTAGAGTCCCCGTGACCGTGACCGTGACCGTGACCGTGACCGTGATGAATAATATAGCGAATTAATTCATTAATTAATGGGATTATGGGAGCATGCACGTGGGCCCGCTACGCGTTTCCGCGGGGAAACGAGCACAGCCAACAATCCAACATACTCCCGCCATATCGTTGCTCTAATCTAACTTATAATAGCATAGCAGTTGGACTTTAAAGACGATTAACTGTCAACCGTGTGTTGGGCCCCTGCACTGATTTCTTTAAAGTGCCGTCCCGCTGGAACATGGGCTGTAAACTTTGGAACCAATTGAGGTTTCGTCAATCATATTTTAGTGGGAGCGATTTACTTAAAGGTCCTGAATTACAGCACAAATGTCTAACAATTGCAAAAAAATGGCGTGTTTGATTTGCGATCCCTCGTACAAATCATATGGTAAAATACGAAATTTTGTAGGTTTTACATTTCTGGATTGTATACCTCATTATTTTTCTTATTTAAGTAAAAATATAAAGTGCCAAGTTTCGTATATACACCGGAAATTATGAAACATGAAAAGTTTGGAAAAAGATATTTTTAATGATTGCAACTATACCCTCTAGTCGATCCTTTCTTTTGTCCTACGTCAGAGACTTTATTCTTCGCCATTCTAAAAAAAAAAAAAAATCATATCCATAGTATATTTGTGAACCTTGTTACGTCATAAGAATCAATTATTTATTTGCGTATTAAATTGATCGTTAGAGGTTGAAGAGAACAAGTGACCATGCATTATGCAATGCTTCTTCTGGTAAGGAAAAAGACAAAGTGAGACCTGACCTGACCACCGTACCCCTTCCCCCAACCCTACCTTTTGACTTCTCCTTTCTTCTCTCGCCATCAATCAACCCCTTCCCTGCCCATCAAAACAGTCAAAAAGAAAAACTCACACGTGTCGGCCCCAGAATCAGTCAACAACCCAAAAATCCATCACCAGCCCATATCCATATCACACACACAGACACAGCTGGCCTTTTTACTTAGCTCCGCCTCCTTCCCGCCAGCCCACCATTTCCCCTCCCTGGCCCAACCAATCCAAAACCTTGGGGAAATAATAAAAAAAACCCATCAGCTGCCAGCCTGGCTCCTCCACATCCCCATCCTCCGCGTTGGCGTTTCTAGGAATCCCCAATTCCCCATTTCCCCCCACCCCCCTTCATTAAATTAATTTAAATTTTAAATTAAATTAATCAACTCCCACAACATATAAAATCACACGCACACACACACTCTCTGCAATCCAAGAATCCAAACTCGAGCTTTGATCCTTCTGTTAATGGATAATAATAATATCTACAGTCCGTTCCGGGATCCGGGGTTCTCCGACGAGGAATCGGTGGCGGCGATGCAGCTGGCGTCGAGCTACCCGAAGAAGCGGGCGGGGAGGAAGAAGTTCAGGGAGACGCGGCACCCGGTGTACCGCGGCGTCCGGAGGAGGAACTCCGGGAAGTGGGTCTGCGAGGTCCGGGAGCCCAACAAGAAGTCCAGGATCTGGCTGGGGACTTTCCCCACCGCCGAGATGGCCGCCAGGGCCCACGACGTCGCGGCCCTGGCCCTCAGGGGGAGGTCGGCCTGCCTCAACTTCGCCGACTCGGCCTGGCGGCTGCCCGTCCCGGATTCCGCGGATGCGAAAGGGATCCAGAAGGCGGCTGCCGAGGCCGCCATGGCGTTCCGGCCTGCCGACGATGATGATCGGGTGGGAGGAGAGAAGGGGGGCGATCAAGTGACGGCGGCGGCGGCGGCGGCGGAGGCAGGGGAGGAAGGGGTTTTTTACATGGACGAGGAGGCGGTGTTTGGGATGCCGGGGTTGTTGGCGAATATGGCGGAAGGGATGTTGTTGCCGCCGCCGCCTCCTCCGCCGCCGTCCCGGGAGGAGGATGATGACTTGGCAGCTGACGTATCGCTGTGGAGTTACTCTATTTGAATTGGGGTTTTTTTTTTTTTTTGGGGGGAGGAATTTTGGCACGTGACGAATATTACTGTGTTTAGAAGTATAGGTAGGGCGGTGGAGGGGGAAAAAGCTGTAATCCGTGCTTGATATTTTTTTTTGACTCAGCACGGGAGATCATCAAAAGCGAGTTTCTACGTAGAAACGTTTTAATGATCTAGAAACGTAAAATCATAAGTTTTAAAGCGGAATTTTTAACTACATAATTTATAAAAACTGAGATTGTTTCGTTGGCGAAACTCGCGTGTTCAATGTGCACTGGTTTCAAGTAAACACAAACACGAAATCAGACAAAATCGTCAAATATCCGCCGCCGGTGTCGGCGCCGTTGATTTGATCGATTAAAACAGAAACAAAGACGATCGTCAAATGGCCGCCGCCGGTGTCGGCGTCGTTGATTCGATCGATACACCTTTGACTTCTAATCAAACAACTGTTATTCGGTCCAACACCTCTCCAAACTACGTTCGAACGAGGGTGTTCGAATAAACAGAAAATCGAACCAGGAGTGTTCTAAGTTACGTTACCTCTACTCCTATGGAGGTTCCTCTGGAGAGCTCCGCGACTACGACTACAAGCTACGATCTACGACTCTGCAAAGGAGTTCTTTGACAGAGCGGTTCTACGAAACTAGAGAGAAAAAAGATAATTCTGCAATGGTGCAGTTGTGATTTGATTTTGCCGTCCTTCCACTTCTCTCTCTTCCCAATCTTTATATTTCGCGCTTCTTCTCGTCGCCGTAACTGCCTTCGCGCCTTTGTCGCCCACGTCTTCACTCCTGTCAACCGTGCAGGTAACTTCTTCCTTGTTGCGTAACTCCCACGAGTGCGAAACCGCTTTGCTGAGCAGCAACTCGACAAAACGACATTGAGCCACCCTTGTAATTATCCACCCGGGTTCGATAATCCACCCCCAACTCCCCAAGCCAAACTACATTCATCCTTGTTCATAATACGGCGGCGTACCATAAACAACACCGCTTCACTTTCTAAAATCTGAGCATGAGAGTCTCTTGTCTCGACAACGTCGTCGTTGTGGGGAATAAATTTCCCAGCGATCTCAACCCTAGCAACGTTGCTCTCCACTAAACAACGTCGTTTCTCGTCCAAGCAGAAACGTTGGATTTGCGGCATTGTCAAATACATAACGACACCAGTGATGTTGCTCCCTTGTCCGAATCACGACATTATTTAGCTAGGACTTCAACAATGCTTGATCACTAGCCTGCTTGTCATCGAATTGAAACAATGCCGCTTCTTGACATCATTGAACTCACTGCTTTGCTTCACAAACGACTAGCTCCGTGATCAACCATGTTCAAACACGGCCTGACCTTAATCAATCTAGGTTAGAGCAAGCAATGTTGTTACTTACCAGGCCGCACTTGCAGCAACATTTGATTCCCGATCCCGTTGAGCTTGCGGTCTTGCGGCATGAATAATCTTGATTCTGTGGTGTTCTTGAGTCTCTGAGCATTGGACCCAACTCCTCGATGTGGGATTCGCAACGTGGTTTGGAGCTAAACAACGTCGTTTGTTCACTTAGCGGCACTGGTATATTCTTGCAACACTGTTTTTAACTGGCCACCGTTGTTTACTTAGTGTCGCGGTGCTGTTGATATCCCTCGCGTCATTGTTATCTACCCAGCGGTACTGTTTTCTCGTCTTGCGGTGCCGTTTTACTTCTCCGCGGCATCGTATTAAACGATACCGTCTAAAATAATCATAACATAGTAATTAATTAAACCAGCGCTCATTGTTAACTCGCCGTCAAACTCTCACCCCCGGCGTCGTTCTCAGTTAAACAACATCGTTTCCTTGTCCCGCGATGTCGTTGAACTTTTGAGCTTCGCGACACTGTTTTAATCTTAAACAATGTCGTTTTAACGGTTGCGGCATCGTTTGGCCTGCTCACGGTATCGTTTCTTACCTTTGCGGCATCGTTTCCAACTAAACGACACCGTGCTAAAAAGTCATTAAAATATTAATTAACTGACCATCACTAGTCCACGACCAACAACATCGTTAGAGCCAAAACGGTTCCATTTGTTTTTCCTTTTGCGACATTGTTTTTTATTAAACACTGTCGTTTGCTAATCCGCGGTACCGTTAGGTCTACTCGCGGTACCGTTTTTTAAATTAAACGACACCGCCGATTTAATCCACGGTACCGCCGGAGTCGGCGCTCGCATGGGGCCGTGTGAATTTTGGTCACTTGCCCATCGGTACCGCTTGCCAAGCTCTCGCGGTACCGTTTGAACTCTCCGCGGTACCGATTTTCCTCCTCCAACACGGATTAAAAATATTTAATTAATTAAAACAAAACTCCTTCTCCCACGAGACACCACACGCGCGGCCCTCCTTTCTTTATTCCCCGGTGTCGTTTCCAGTACCGCGGTACCGCTGAGCTCCCTTGCGGTACCGTTTTAATGTTCCACGGCGCCGATTTTCCTCTTCCGACGAGGAAAAAATATTTAATTATAAAACTCCCTTCTCCAACCCAACTACACGCGCGGCCCCTCTTGTTTTTCATTAAGCGGTGTCGTTTCCCATAACGCGGTACCGCCGAGCTCCCTTGCGGTACCGTTTTAATTTTCCACGGCGCCGCTCAACTCCAAACGACACCGTTATCGAATTAAATGCCGAGACTAATTAATGCGGCATTTAATTTCGGCCAAATTAATTTTAGGTGTCAACAGAGATTTTGTGTAGAAGCATTTTAGTGACCTAAAAACGTAAAATTTTAAGTTTTTAAGTTTTAAAGCGTGATTTGGACGACATTGCAGGAGATTATTTGGTAGAAAAAAGCGGAAGAAAGATGGGAAGCTCCATTTTTGTCAGTCGGGAAAAGCTTTCAACTGGAGTGGGGGAGAATAAGTATATGCCAAAACGGCAGTCGTATATGGATTGGAGGGGAAACAAGTAAAAGAAAATTGAGCTTTGTGAACGTTTAGTGCATATATACTTTGTTATTCCAAAAATATATACAGACCGATAATAAACAAATTGGAATACAATTTATTGTGTGTAATTTAATTTTGGATATTCGGTTAGATCTATTATACATGGTTTTATTACTGCTGGAGTGCATCATGGTGATTTCTCGAAAGGTCGTCATCCTTATACTACTTCTCATTAAGCACATTTGACTTTCGAGTTCGTACTCAAAACTCCTCCATTTTTTCTTAGGTGGTGTTATATACACTCCCTTGGGGCTGGACGTGCTCATTGAGATTTGCTCTACCATCGTCCAACGGAGACAAACAGTGCGCCCGTACTACTTGTAAGTCTCAACACTTTTCCGAGATTGATCGACTTTGAGCTTACCTTACACGATTTTCTTATGGTGACTTGTCAAGAGGTTAATCATCTTTATACTGCTCTATACTAAGCATGTTTAAATTCAAAGTTCTTACAACAACTCTTTTATTTCACCACAAAAATGTATTTAAAACTGAATTGTTTTTTTTATGAAGTATGAATTCACCCGTTGTTTGTCTATTTGAGATTTGCCTACATTTACCCCTTCATGATTTCCGAATTTCTCTCTTATTCTCGGAAGTCGGAAGAAACCACTAGCAGTTGGTTACAATTGTTGGAAAACCTAGTGAACAAAGAATGGGTCGGGGAAATTTCAATCATGGACTCCTTGACATTACCAAATCAAAGCCCATTAGCCAACTGGGCCAGATTGGGTTTCAGCAACAAATAAACAGACAGAAATGTCAGATTGACAAGACCCGATTTGGAGTACTTCCCCTTTTGCTTTTCAGTTTTCTCTCTTGGGTTAGCTTTGGAGAAGTCACTGTTAAGCAAAAATACATACAAGCTCCAATTTATGATGTCAATCAAATCAAACAGGACAGGAGATCAAAAGTAATGAACACAAATTTACACTAGAATAAAAGATTTGATCAATCATCCCCAAGTTCTTCCTATGAAGAAGAAGCAGAAGCAACAGCCAGTGAAGGCTACAAAAAAGAAAGACAACCCAAAAGCAGAAACTTCGCCTTACGTACAGAAACCGTAAGAACCAACATATTTGCAGTTGGTAAATAAACTAATCATCACCAAAACAACGAAAGAAAGGAATTTCCAAAACCAAACAAAGAAGAAGGAGACCAATCTTGACAATGCATATTCTGATCAATGACCAACCAAACTGCATTGGCAAGGAAAAACAAAGGAGAATAAACTTTTTTTCCAACTCATCCACCACCAGTCCACCACCACCACCTCCCTGGAATGGATGCGTTCTGGTAAAATAATACAATCCACCTTCCCACTTTGCAGCAAGCAAAGCTTTTGGGGTAGAGAAACATTTACTTGGTCTTCTTCAGCAGGCTTGATGTCCTAAACTCAGCATCATCTCTCACAAAGCTCCACCAGATGTACCCGAGGGGAATGGCTGCCACGTGCCAGATGGCTCGAGCATCCACGTACCTCCCAAGTGGTGGGAAGTCGTATACTTCGACGAGCGTGGACAGACTTCCCCCCACTAGAACTACCAGCCACAGCTTCCACCTCGATGGATGGCGCCAGCTTGTAGCCCAGACGAGCCATATCAGAACCTGAACTAGGGTCATTGCCCCGCTTACTTTGGCATTCAGACCTGCGATTGGTTGGTGTGATTTTTCCACATAAGCCCAGAGTGTTGAAGGATGGATGGAGCGCAACCGATTGGGTGGAAAAAAATAGATCATTACCTTTGTCAAAGTTATAGAAGTTCAAATACAGGATATGTGTGGTGACAAAAGCAATCACTGGGGCAGCAATCATAACTCTGGCGGCTTCATCTCTTATATTGAAAGCTCGGAATGTTGCCAAAATAAGAGAGAAGCCAACCCAAGCCACGGTAGAGGAAAAATACAGTTTCTCTGTCAACTCCACATCCCTGCAACAGTGAAGTATCACGCAACATCAATGGTGAGATGGAGTTTAAAGGTGAATCATATCATAAGTGGCAGAGTTGAAATCGTGGACGGCTTTCTATAAAATTGAAGAGTTCCATGCTTTTTCGGGAAACTGGAAGCCATATTTAAAAAACTTACAGCTCTACCATAACAACTTACCGAGTGTGATAAACAGCACACCAGAGCCAGGCATTCATGTACAAGAAAGCATAGATGTGCCACAAGCCAGTGTACTCATAGTAAGTCTTCTTATCCGGCCTCAGTGGCAGCTTGTAGTATACAAGGATGAAAAAGGATATCCACCCATGAAACTGAAGAGCAAGAATGACTGCAGTGAGAGCAACAGAAACTGGTTCCTGCATCCGAAACGGCAGAAACATCCTTTTAATTAGGCTAATAATAACACGCGACCAAGAGTTTAGACAGAAATATATAGCGTTTATGAAACTACCTGGATGCCATAAACACGATGAAAGGGCCATCTCCCATGGTACTTGACAGGTTTAAGACCAAGTTCCGACCTTTCATCCTCCCTGGAAATCATGCAATGGTATTGACAGTCGCTTTGACAGTCCCATTGTTTCCACCGCTGATAAAGCGGCTCCTGATGATACCAAGGCCCGTCAATCGGTTTCCCATCAGACGATAATTTGCAGTGCTGGAAGCATTTCTTGCCCACGCATCCCGTTGTCTGGCACTCCTCCACGCAGCTCCTGGGTCAATGAGCCACATCAAAAATCGGTTTTCCAAATCACCACAGCAGGAGACATGATACCAGATATGGAAGCAGGGACCCATATATCATCACAAAGTAGACTAACAACAGTCAGATTTGACACCCACATCAGAAGCTTCTCCTTCTAGACAACTCTCACTCAAACTCAATTCAAATTCAATCATTATCCCTAACCCCTGAACTTGCAATTGACAGATTTGACAAAGCATTACCGTAACCACAAGGCCTACAAAAATCACATCCCACCCAACATACTGCACTCAACTCTAAGGCAAAAGCAAGAAGCTTTGCAGCAGAACAATCATGCCAACTCCAGCATTTGAAAGCTGAAAACGAAGACACGAAGAAATTAAAAATCAAAGAGGGATTGAGTGCAACTAACTTGTAAATCGGATCGGCATCGCCATCGCTGGCGCCAAGTCCACGAACCAAGCAGAAGAACGCAACGAAGACGACGACCCAGCGGCTCCAATCCATCGGACTCGCACGAAAAAAGTCAACTCAGCTGAACTCGTCGAGAATCAGCGGGAAGCAGCGAGGTCCAGTGATTCCATACAATCGCGCTCAAGAAGGTGAGACACAACAGCTATGAAGTAAAGTCGTAAACCGGGAAAATCCCGCCTCCGGAGGATGCAGCAGACGGCGCCGGAAAATTGGGTTTTTTGGAGAGAAGCCGGTGGAGGACGAGGGAAGTAAAAAAAAAAAATTTGTGTGGATTTCGATGGGATTCGGGAGAAGTAGAGGCGAGAGAAGGAGGCGAAAAAAAAGGAGAAAATCAAGAGAGACCAGAATCTCGTGACTGGGCTGATCCTCGGGGCAACTCACGAGGTAACACGTGGATCCTTCTCGCTTCATCCGATGAACGCTTTTACCGAACTGTCCCTTCGGAACGACGCCGTTCTGTTTCTTCGTCGTCAATCTCGGGCCTTTTTTTTCTTTTTCTCTTTTCCCTGTCCACACGGTTTTACCTAGCGAAGCACAGCAGCGCCAAATTCCATGGCTTTTTCGTCAGCCTCCAGCTCGCAGGTGCTGCTGCTTCACCATCCCAATCCCACGCGCTTGCTTCTTCCGATTCCCCACGCGCGCGGCGCGAATGTGCCCAGGCGGCTCCCGCTCCGTCTTCGACTCCGCTCCTCGTCATGCCATTTCCCGCCAATTCGACCGTCTTATGCTGCCACGCGGAGGACGGAAGGCATTGCCACGATTCCTTTTGCGAACGTTACCGGATCGGCGTCTGACCCGATTGTGAACGAGCCGGAACATAAGTCCGACGTATCGGATGCCGACGGCGACGAGGAGTGGTCGTCGAAGAAACTGGTAACGTGGGGGCTTCTGTGGAGTCTGATGCTTAGGCATAAGTTGAGAATTGGAATTTCGGTTCTCTCGCTTGTTGGCTGCACTACTTGCACCCTCTCCATGCCCATTTTCTCAGGTAACGATTCGTGACAATGGGTTTTCTGTTGTTTTGTGGTTGCTGAAAAATTTAGAGAGTAGTGATTGCATTTGTGATCGTTCATTTTAGTTTTTTTGTAATCTGTAGGGCGATTCTTTGAAGTGCTTGTGGGTGTGAGGCAGGAGCCTCTGTGGAGGCTGCTAGCTAAAGTTGGACTTGCCTACGCCATGGAACCAATTTTCACTGTACTGTATGTTGTTAACATGAACGTTGTGTGGGAGAGTGTTATGTCGACGCTTAGAGCTCAGATTTTCAGGAGAGTTCTGATTCAAAAGGTCGAAACATGTCTCACTATTGTCACCAATTTTTTGTAAATTTTGAAACTTGATCTTGACCCAATTCATAGTTTGTACTTATGGATTTTCTTTCACCTTTTTGTGTCCAATCAGGTGGAGTTTTTCGATCGGTACAAGGTCTGTATCCGTGAACTGCTAACGTGTGTAATTTTTGTTGAGGTTCTTGTCTTGGACCATGTTTTGGGGTTTTAATGTCAAGAGATTTGCGTTTTTGGCATTGTTATGCAGGTTGGTGAAATCAGTGCATTGCTGACAAATGATTTGGGATCTCTTAAAGATATCGTGAGTGAGAATGTTTCAAGGGATCGTGGGTTTAGGGCACTTTCTGAGGCAAGCTACTCTATCTAAATCAGAGTGAGCTTAATTTCGTATGTTCTATTCTGTAGGTAGTCTTTGACTCGGATAAACTCTGCATCCTTATTTTTGTGTCAATTTTTTATCTGAGAAAAACACTGATCTCTTTTACCTTCTATGAGATTTCTGATTCTGATTGATTATGATGCTTCTGAACTTTCTAATAGTAATTTTTTCTTCCTCATTTGTTCTGTAGATCCTTGGGACTGTTACCATCTTATTCACCTTGGCTCCCCAGCTGGCTCCAATTTTGGGCATCCTGATGCTTTCAATTTCAGTTTTAGTTGGTAAGCAAACTTAAACTGATGGTTTGATATTCGTCAATGAAACATACATGTGTAGTGACAAGGGGTAGAAGTTTTCGCTCACAGTCTTGCTATCCATACTGTTTACAGAGTAATGGGTGTGCCTTGACAACTTAGAGGTTTCCTTAGTCTTGTTGGATCCTCAAATATCCCTGCAGGAAATGCTGTTGCTTATTTCATTCTTTATGCATTTCCCCCGATTGGTGATTGGTTTTTGTTGCTTTGAAGCTGTGTACAAGCGATCAACTATACCTGTTTTCAGAGCTCATGGAATGGCTCAAGCATCCATGTCTGACTGTGTATCAGAAACTTTTTCTGCTATTCGTACTGTAAGCCCTCAACATGCTCTGCAACTTGCCTTATAATTTGTTAAATGCAGATCATGAGATATTGGTTCAGAAGGGTGTCAGTAATACTCAATGTATCTCTTTCCTTGCTCTGACTATTTGGTCTGCGCATGTACTGGATGGGAAAAGATGTATCCGTGGTAAGTTTCTATTACATTTTTTTTCCAGGTAAGATCTTTCAGTGGTGAACATCGCCAAATGTCCATGTTTGGTAACCAGGTAAGATGGAATGCCTTGGCATCTGCTGTTGTTTGCGTCACTATGAGAATGTTCCATTGTTATCTTGCATCAATCCCTACGAATTCGACAGGTTCTTGCTTACCGGCGTAGTGGCATAAGGCTTGGGATGTTTAAATCACTAAATGAGTCAGTGACGAGAGTTGCTGTTTACATCTCACTGATTGCTTTATATTGTCTTGGAGGAAGTAAAGTGAAAGCTGTAAGTGCTTCTACCTTCTGCCACCTTTTCCTTGAACTTCCAAACCTCGTGTGCTGATTGTTTTTGCCTATTTCCTGCAGGGTGAAATTTCTGTTGGGACTTTTGCTTCTTTTATTGGGTACACTTTCACACTGACATTTGCTGTGAGTCCTTCTATTCCAATTACTCTTATATTGGATTTTATTTTATTTTTATTTTCTGATAATGCTTATATTGGATTTTATGATTTCCTTCATTATTAAACGCTCTGGTACAACTTTAGGTTCAAGGCCTGGTCAATACATCTGGGGATCTTCGTGCAACTCTTGCTGCCGTCGAAAGAATCAATTCCATTCTCTCTGGAGTAGAGGTTGATGAAACCCTTGCCTATGGTCTAGAAAGGGAAATCCAGGGAAAAGAACATACAGACGAGGCAATAAAATTGTTCTCCGACAATGGTCACAGCGGGAAGAGCACCCGTAACGTGCATTACATGTCAGCCTTAAAATCAGCTAACAACCTATCCAACCTTGTTTGGTCTGCTGACATTTGTCTCGAAGGTACTTTTTTTTTATTGATACACTATTCCATGTTGTGATGAAGGTTCTCAGTATCTAATAAGTGTATTGCAGATGTGCATTTCTCCTATCCCCTGAGACCTGATGTGGAAATTCTACGTGGTCTCGACTTGACTCTGAAGTGTGGTACCGTGACTGCTCTAGTTGGTCCAAGTGGTGCAGGGAAAAGCACAATAGTTCAGCTACTATCCCGATTCTATGAGGTCTGATTTCTTCCACATAGAATAGGTATTTGTGTACTCTGTATGTTTCATGTCGCCCAGTCAACTATTTCCATTAACATCTGATTTTGCAGCCAACCAAAGGTCGAATAACAGTTGCCGGAGAAGATATCAGGACATTTGAAAAGACAGAGTGGGCTCGTGTGGTCTCCATAGTAAACCAAGTAATGCATTTTGATCAATGAAAGCTGAAAGCTGAAAGACAGTTAACTCAAATAGGGATGATCTAGATGCTATTGTTAAGCCACCAATATAAAAGCATTTGCTCATGCATACAGGAACCGGTTCTTTTTTCGGTATCGGTTGGGGAGAATATTGCATACGGGCTTCCTGATGAAAATGTGTCCAAAGATGACATCATAAAGGCTGCCAAAGCTGCAAATGCACACGAGTTCATAGTTTCACTGCCACAGGTTAGTTATGATCGTTGTGAATCTGTCTTTCAACTTCATCTTCGTATATTTTCTTCTTCTTCTTTTTTTTTTGCTGAAAACCTTCATTTGCACGTCAAAAGGGTTATGACACTCTTGTTGGTGAGCGTGGAGGCTTGCTGAGTGGAGGGCAGAGACAGGTATGTAATTATGTAAACACAACTATCAATCCAAAGTGACTGAAGCTCGAGTTTAATGAGTCATTAAGAATGGTTCAAACTGTAATTATTTAAAAATTCTGAACTGTCCAGAGGATTGCTATTGCTAGAGCTCTGCTGAAGAATGCCCCAATCCTTATCCTTGATGAGGTAAACAAAGCTGTTTTTAAGCTCCATCATTTGTGTCCACTCTTCTCCGTAAGTGACTGGAAAACTATTTTTGTGCAGGCAACCAGTGCACTAGATGCAGTTAGCGAACGCCTAGTCCAGGACGCACTCAACCATCTAATGAAAGGCAGGACGACAATGGTGATTGCTCACAGATTAAGCACGGTTCAGAACGCACACCAGATTGCAGTTGTTTCTGATGGAAGGATTGCAGAACTTGGGAGCCATTTGCAGTTGCTTGCCGAAAAGGGTAGATATGCTACACTAGTCGGCACTCAAAGACTGGCTTTCGAATGATTCACCAGTCCATTTTAACCTGTTTAACTTCCATAGCATAAATAGGACCACGGCCTTATGTCAATTGACAATGATGAGTTCTTGGACACGAGTTTTCTCCTTTACACTCATGCATTGAGTAGTTTGGTAGCTGTGGATTTTTCTCAGCGACTCTCCATAATACATAGTTTCTTCCTATTCAATTGAAATTACAGCATTGAGAATGGCGAGGCATTCAGTGGTTGGACTAAGAAAAGTGTTCATGAAAACATCAATGATTTGATAAACTGAAGCCACCCCAACTAATCTGCATTTCCATTCCTTGTCCAATTTCTCCCCTTCTCCACTTCGGATGCTTCCTCTCAGTTCCTCTGAAGTTAGAACCGTCTTCACCAGCAGTGGAGCTCTGTATAAACTGCCAGCAGATAACCAGAAATCGGGAACAAATTCCAGATCCACCTTTCCAGAATCCGGGTGAATCCTGCCCCGGAATGCTTCCGGGACTATATCGATCTTCAGGCCTGGTGGCAATGGTAATGGCAAGAGCCTGGTGGTCTCACTCGTCAGTGGTGGAATGTACAGAGTTTCAGGTCGAATGTGATAAGGAAGAGACAAACTCGGCAACTACCTCACCACTTCTCCCCTCTCTTCGTTTGTGACTGTTACTTTTCTGTTCTTCTGTTCCTAAATTTATGTTAGTGGGGAATTACCTTTCCTTAGGAATAGCTATTAGTTGAAACCTCATTGTATAAATGCATATCAATAATACAATCACAACTCAGGATTTCTGAGCACTTTCATGGTATCAGAGCTTCTTGCTTAACAGCCTTCAGATCTAGGAACCCTAAAACTTTTTTTTCCCCTTCTTTTATCGGCAGGATGAGTCCAAACTCACCTGGCCGCTTCTTTCTTCCGTAGATCAATCCCCCTATGTACCCATACCTTGCCACAACAGCCTCTTTCTTCTTCCTCCTACATCTCTTTACCTTGTCTGATTCACTCCCTCTTCCTTTGTTGCCTCTGCAACAGTCTCCTAGCTCCAGGCGCCAGTCACCGCCATGGCCAGTCTCTCCTCCTCTATTTCTCCCCTACTGTCCGCTGTTGTTTCTGCCACCGACGAGCCTAACAACGTCGTCGTCGTCTTCTCTCCGCGTCTTTTTCGCCATGACGCCTCCCATCTCCAAGCCGGCCAGATTCGTCCCCGGTCGCTGCTGCTGCGCAGCTTTTCCCCGGTTGTGCCTTTCATATATACTCTCTTCAAATACCCTGCTTCTTCCTCTAGTTTTCTTCCTTCGGCCTTGTCCGCCTCAGCAGCCCCCACTGAATCTTCTTTCTATAATTTGGCCGGTCAATCCTATCATTGCCTACTTTCTTTCTTTCTACAACCTTCTTTCCACAATTTGTTTCTTTCCCAAATTCTTTCACACGAACAGCTAGTGCCCACCCCTACCACTTCCCCTTCTTCTCTCTTCCGTTCAATTTGTCACAGGCGGAGATATTGGACAGAGGAGATATTGCCTCTGGTCACAGGCGGCGCAGGATTCATTGGAACCCACACAACGGTCCAGCTGCTCAAAGAAGGTTTCAGAGTTCCAAAGCTGCTCAAGGAGTTAGCCATGACCTCAGTGACCGACCCGGACGCCACAAATTCATCCTGTGCCGTGGAATCGCCAAGTAGCCACTTCGAGTTCATTACCTACCGGCGCCAGCACAGCTCGCAGAGTCATCGCCGAATCATTGGCTCCACCTCGTTCTACAAATTTGTTTCAAGTTTCACCTCTCCGAGGTTTCACTTGCGGGGGCGTGATAAGGAAGAGACAAACTCGGCAACTACCTCACCACTTCTCCCCTCTCTTCGTTTGTGACTGTTACTTTTCTGTTCTTCTGTTCCTAAATTTATGTTAGTGGGGAATTACCTTTCCTTAGGAATAGCTATTAGTTGAAACCTCATTGTATAAATGCATATCAATAATACAATCACAACTCAGGATTTCTGAGCACTTTCAGAATGATACTGATATGGTCACCATCTTTTGTACCAATTCCAGTTCCTGTGCCCCTTTGGCATTGCAGTGGAAACCAGGATATCTGGGAGATCCCAAGCTTGCAAACTTCCAGAGTTTTGAAGCTGATACTGTAAGCATGGGAGTTCGGAAGTTTGGTTTTGCTGATGGATGCCTGCTGTTTTGGGTTTGAAGAAGAGGAGGAAACTGCTGTATTTCTGAAACTGGGTCTTAAAATTGAGGACTGCCATTGGAGAGTTTAAAGTGTTGATCTTGCAACCCATCTGTAACTGTTTTTCTGAGTGCTGAAGGTAAAACTGGAAATGGAGAGAATTGGAGTACTTGGTGGGTGATGATGCTGATGAGTGGATTAGATAAGATAACTCAAATGAGTTGCCATGATAACTCAAAGTACTCATAATATGGTATATGATGCACGATTGAATCTCTCCCAACAACTCGAGTTATTGGGATCAACTGGTTCTTGACACTCTCTGTAGTTTAGGGTACATGTTAAGGTTGCATCAAATGAGTTGCTAATATTAGCTATCAATTTGCGTTCCATTTTACTTACCGCCTTGTTCCATCATCTTATGCTTTGGGATGACGTTCGTGTATTTTAGCTAATTGGTTGATAGAATATATTATTCGCATACGAATTGAATCAACATTTTCGTGATTATGATAGTGATGTTAAGTGTAAGCGTTAGTGCGTTACAATCCTAGGTCTTATTTAAATAGTGGGTTGGGGTGAAAATTGTGTTACGTTCCCATAAATATATTCCATATGTTGTTCACAAGTTTTAATATAACCCTACTTAGTTTTGTGATGTAATTTTTATTAAATTATCAGTTGTACGTGATAGTCTGATATAACCATCTACTGGATACGCCGATTATGGAGTGGAGTTGGCGTTGGACACCCTGAAGTCAAGATACCTCAAGCAAACTAGAGAGTTTGTGAGCTAGTATAACTTCGTGGTACATTTGAATGAAGTTGCTTGATTAGAAGGGAACACAACTTGGTTTCTCAGTATACCAGTTGTTTGATCATTTTATAAACGTATAGTTTGGTTGTTTTTCTTTGTGCCTCTATGTTCAGAGAGTTTGTTGTTATATTGACAAGTGAGGAGGTGCACAAACTGGTTGGTGAACATTAGAGTTCTTTCTCTATAATGTAATGTAAGATAGAAGGATAAGCATTAGTTGATAATCTTAAATCCTCATTATCATATTAGTTGGTCTTCTTTAGACTTATGTCCTCTCCAGCTAGTCTTGCATTTTAATAGCACCATTTCCTTCTTCATTTAGGAATCTAATCATTCAGATATGAAAACTTCCTTGTGTTATATTTACATTTAAGGAATAGCATTAAACATAGAGAGCAAATATGGGATAAGAGTGTTCATACCGTAATTGCGAGCCGCCCAGTCAGCAATTTTGTTCTTTCGAATGGTTGATGTTCAACACACACGAGAGTCAAGCTCACAATATGAGCAAGGAGAGTCCACTACATAACTATTGCACATACTAGCGACGTCTTATGTTCGTAAAAGTATGTGTCCAATGTCATGGTCATGAATTCCAAGCTTCCTAACTTGTTACGGCCACAATCACTAAGGTGGATTATATTTTTCACTTTCAGGCATTACCAAATTTGTACCTTCAAAAGGTCGAATTGTCTACGCAACCACAATTGATTCGTTCCTCTAGCCCGTGTGGGTTTCATGGTTTCATGTGTCCAAATATGAAGTAAAATAATTGTACAGATCTTATACATAACTTGTTTGTACTCACTATAGCTCTAAGAACCAATGGAAAGATGTACTCGATAACCCTAAACGAAAAAGCCTCATACAAGAAAGTCCTAATAGAGGTGTCTTCCATCCGAAACGTTGGCTAAAGAGCAAGGTTATCAACATGCGGGTCAGCCCTGTGAGAAAATGGGTCACACACACTCGCAGGTCGACCTGTTGCAAGGCTATTGGATTGGAGGTTACTCGACGTTGTTTTTTCCTTTGATTTGCGAAATGCCCCTCTTTTCCAATTTTCCTCTTCACCTAACCCTATCTTTGAAATTCTAAGTAGAACATTTGAATATTGATGTCATATAAGTGTGTGTGAATTTTCACCATACGTTAGATTCAAGTACGATCTGTTATTTTGGTGTAATGTTATATGTTATTACTCATACGTTAGATGAAATTTAATATAATTTGTAAATGTAATGAATAATATAATGACTTTTTTATATGTACAGGCTAAAACAATCAAACTATTAACTCTTAACTCACTTGTCTGATCGGGTCAATGGATTAAACCGGATTGACAAGCTTGCTAAAGTGAGATCAAGCGGCCTATCTAACCTATGGAGGGGTGTTCTACGACTCGATCATTTGGTGGATGATGCTACTACTTGAAACATCAGAAACGAACGAGTGGCTAGATTCTGGAGTGACCGGTGGCTGGACGACTCACTATTCTCCGGGAACATGGCCATAATCTCCCCTCGGAGATGGAGACTATGCTTGTGGCGGATTTCATTCTAAATGGTGAGTGGAACGAGGTTTACTTACGTGCTTATTTATCGTAGGAATTTATTTCGCAGGTACGGCTCCACCCGGTGCCAACTGAGACCGAGCCTGACATCCGAGTGTGGCGCCTCTCACCAAATGTAGTCTTCTCCCTTCGGACGGCGTATGAGCTCACGGACATGGTGGATGGCTCGATTCTGAACCAGCCGATTTGGAGATTTATCTGGAGAACTCCGACGATGCAGCGGGTGCACACATTTCTTTGGCTCCTCAACCATGATCGCCTGCTAACGAATGCAGAGAGAGGACATAGACATCTTATCGACGATACAAGTTGCAAGATCTGCGGCGGGGGCCTTGAGACTACTATCCATGTCGTTCGGGACTGTCCATTTGCGAGAGCTACGTGGGAGGGACTTCTTGAAGACGAGCCAGACACCACCTTTTTCTAGCCTCACATTCACTAGTGGTCTCTGCATTACTTATCAGGGCACAATAATATCGTTGATAGCACTCTTTTTGCAAGCACTTGCTGACTTCTGTGGAAGAACTGGAATGGCCTCCTCTTCCGGAGCGAGCTGAAAACCCATGAGCAAATCTAGTTCATCACAAAACAGCTAAGGCAACAGATACTCACAGCCTTCGAACAGGAGAGTACCATATTTGGAGCTAGGGGACTCCGAGAATGGCGGGACATTAACTGGCATCCACCGCCGAGAGGAGGGAAGACGATGTACGCTTTATCAGAGCTTTCACAGCAAACTTGGGAGGGGGGTTCGATTACTCGTGCATAGTTGGCTGGGATTGCTTATGGGTTAAGGCTGACTCGGAAAGAGGTGGTTATGAAGGTTATTTTGCAGACAGACTCTTGCATTGTGAAGACCCTGATCGAGAATGCTACACCACAGCATCCACACTACACCTATGTTTCAGAGATCCGCCGTTGGCTAGCTCGGTCGTGGCTTGTCAGGATAGAGCATGTTTACAGGGAAGCAAACTTTGTGGCTGATCACCTCGCTTCCATTGGTCACTCTTTATCCATAGGGGTTCATGAGATTCAAATCCCAAATAGTTCTTTACGTTATTGGCTGTATTTTGACATTTTGGGGACTCAAACACCCCGTCTTTTTAGTTTGCAATAAGAGTTAGAATGCTCTTAGCGCCCTGTTCACACAAAAAACAAGGATTATAAAGTAAATAATCCCATAATAAACGAGTAATTATTACTAACTAGTTTCATTGCGTATAAAATACGTATAAGGGCAAGTGTCGTAATTCTACGGTTCTTATAAGGGTGATCCTGTAAATGAGCATACTCCACCGTTGCACGGCCGGGTGTCGACGACGCATAATTGCCTTTCTCTTCTCCGTTAGCTACTTTCCCAACTTCCGCAATCGCGCGAGTTGGCCACCGCGTGAGAGACAGAAGATCGGAGTTACGGCACCGCCTAGTTTCCCCACGAAATTCTTCATCTGCTTTGCGAAGCTCCAAGAGCAGGTCCAGCACCCAATCAGCGCGGCGGCTTGCCCGAAGCTGTTACTGGAAAGGATTCAATTAGGGTTTTTTTTCATGATCGGATTCTTCTGCAATACTCCCGGCTCACTCCAGTTAAGCAGACGGACGAGCTTTCGTTGCCCTAGTTTGTTCCTCTTGCTCCGAAGTTAAATAATCGGAGAGATGGATTTCGATGCTCACGGCGGCAATAAAGGCGTCTTCCACCGGCTAAGCGCCGGCGGAGGAGGACCGCGGGGGAACCACAACGATTCCAACAAGAACCAGAGAGTCTGCTTTCATTGGCGGGCGGGCAAGTGCAACCGCTTCCCCTGCCCATTCCTCCACCGGGAATTGCCCCCGCCGAACTCCGCTGCCACTGCTTCTAACGGCAGCCATCCGGCCAAGCGCGGGTTCTCTACCGATTCCGGGTTTTCGGGACCTCCCCCAACTCGGAGGGCCCCGAACTTCAATAGTTCGTCGACTTGGGGGCGGACTGGGAATAATAGAGTGGTCAAGAAGACGGATAAACTGTGTAATTATTGGATACAAGGGAGCTGTACTTTCGGGGAGGGCTGCAGATATTTACATAGTTGGAGTTTAGGCGATAGTTTCTCTTTGTTGACGCAACTTGAAGGAGGGCATCAAAAGGTATGAGCTTTCTGTCTTTTCTTTCCTTATTTGGTGTCTTATGCTACCGGCATTGTCGTACTGATTGCTTTTTGTTGTGATGAGCAGGTTGTCAGTGGGATTGCTTTGCCATCTGGGTCTGATAAGCTTTACACGGGGAGCCAAGATGAAACTGTCAGGCTTTGGGATTGCCAATCCGGCCAGGTTTGCTTCGGTTTTATTATATTCCAACTGCACTAATAGTTGGTTCCTGCATATTCCTTATTCAGTAATCTCTTGCTGTATCAGTTTTCTGATAGTTTGCTTGCCGTATTTTTCCAGTGCATGGGAGTTATTAATCTGGGTGGTGAAGTGGGTTGTATGATCACAGAAGGTCCATGGATATTTGTCGGTATCCCGAATCTTGTGAAGGTTAGGAAGACATGAAATTCATCATTTTCTCGTGAAGTTCCAATATGCTTGGTCTGTGCTTTTAGTTTATGGCTGTTGGAGAGGTAGTATCTGCATTGTGTTCACTTAATTCTTTTCTTAACCAATGATGGTCCCTTTTCAAACTGGTTTCTAAGACCTTGCATATTTTTTCAGGCATGGAACTTACAGACCAACGCTGACTTAAGTCTTAGCGGGCCAGTTGGACAAGTTTATGCTATGGTTGTGGGTAGTGACTTGCTATTTGCTGGCACCCAGGTAATATTTCACTGGATCACATATCTTTCTGTTCTTATGTGTCGCTCAACTTCATAAACTTGTGAATATGGACATGTTGGGGATGTTATTGTTGCATTTAGACTTTTGGATGATGCTATTCATCCTCCTGTTTCCTGTAGTCATCATTTGCAGTTGTAGAGGGTGAGGAACTCATAACTGTTAAAAATTGTGTTTTAGTGCAGGATTCAGCAATCTTGGCGTGGAGATACAATGCAGCCACAAGCATCTTTGAGCCTGCTGCATCACTTAAGGGTCATTCCTTAGCTGTTGTCTCATTAGTTGTTGGAGCTAACAGACTGTTCTCTGGTTCTATGGATAATTCTATAAAGGTATGTTCACTCTCATGATCTTATCGTACTACGTGTTTCGACTATATTTTTTTTTAATTGTCATGCTTGCTAACTATATTCATCATATTTTTTTCTAGGTCTGGAACCTTGAAAATTTGCAGTGCGTACAAACCTTGACAGGGCATACTTCAGTGGTCATGTCTGTTCTTTGCTGGGATCAGTTTCTTTTATCAAGTTCATTAGATAAGACAATCAAGGTATAGTCACGATGTTAAACAGAGTGTTTATTATTGTGATCCATACTTTACCTTAAATAAGTCAATGAATTAGTCGTGTTGTCTACCTTTTCAGGTCTGGGCCGCCACAGAAAGAGGGGATCTGGAAGTAACGTTCACACATCAAGAAGAACATGTAAGCTTTCTATTTTTTTTCTCATTAATGAGGTAATAACTAGGCCGGGGATGATTTTTTCTGAGTGCAACATTAGGACTGCTTTGGTGTGTCTGTGAACCGAGTTACTCTGGAGCATGTTTACTATCTTTAGTATATTCCAACCGTCTTACTGAAATCTCAAGTCTTCAAATCAGGACACAACTGTGATGACCTGCCTTGCCCTTTGCTTTATCGATAAAGGAGGTGCATGATTAACCATTTGAACGTTGAATATCTAGAATAAAATCCAGTGATCTTGAGGGACATCAAGGATATCATAGTACATTTACTGTCTATGGATTAGAGATTGTATATTCCTAGGGATGATAATAAACTAGGAGTAAAATGTGATATAGTCCTGTGAATACGTCATAAGCAAGGATCCATAGTCCAAAATTGTACAATATCTACTGGCATGGATTTGTTTAATAAGTGATGCAAAACATTTGGCCTGCTGCAGGGACTCCTTAAGCTATGTGGAATGCATGATTTGGAAGGCAAGCCATTGTTGTTATGCTCTTGTAATGACAACTCAGTCCGGATATATGACTTGCCATCGTAAGTTTCAGAATTTCGTATCACTTTCCAATTTCTTCTCCATACATGACGAGCTCTGACAGCCTGCAACTGTTATTGTGTATGAATGCACAGGTTTTCGGAGAGGGGCAAAATTTTCTCCAAGCAGGAGATTCGAGCAATTCAGGCAGGTCCTGGTGGCCTCTTCTTCACCGGGGATGGAACCGGCCAAGTGAGAGTGTGGAATTGTAAAGCTGAACAACAACCTACTGCGGCGACTTGATGAAGAATCAGCCTTATGTGTTCTCCAGTGTCATCGTATATTATTCTTCATCACTTGAGCTTATTTTTTTCCACCTTTTTTGGTAATAATGAGTAGTAGAAGAAAGTGGATTGTAGAAACATCATTTTTCTTATATCTTTTTGGTATTCTTAGTAGAGCATTACACAGCCATGATAGTCATTGTTGAGTGAGGCTTTTCTGTAACGATGAAGATGAAAGAAAGAACAAAGAAGAAGAACGGTTGAATCCATATGTAGTTTAGCCACTTTTTAACTTTTCTTTCTGGTTGACTCAATTTGTACGAATAAGCTGAATGAAGGGTTGATTTGATTTCTCGAGAACTTCAATTGATACAAGGAAGAAGAGGCAGAATGGGGAACTGATAAGCGGTAAAATATTCTCATGCTCGTACTTCGAAATATATGAACCCGTTTGCGGTGTTTGTAAAAAAATTATTTTTTTTTTTAATTGACACGTGATTAGTAACAAAATTTGAACTGTTAACTTAATTCAAGTGACTGCGAATAGAATAAATTAATTTTAGTGATAAACATAAACTTTCTATCTAGATACCAAAGTTGCAATTCTGAATCTAGATACCAAAGTTGCAATTCTGAGCAGTTATGACAAAGTTGCAATTCTGAATCTAGATACCAAAGTTGCAATTCTGAGCAGTTATGACGACTAAGAAAAGCCTGAAATCCATTTTAGTTACCCAATTTGCATGAATAAGCTGAAAAATGGTAGATTTGATATCTCAATAGGAAAAATAGGCGAAAAGGGCAACATATATGCAGAAAAATGGTCCCAGGCCTGCTTTATTTCGAAACATATGAACCTTTTCTTTCCAGTTTGTACAATTCAAATAGGACCTGCATAATCATATGTAAGCCTTCTTTCTCTGGGTTCGATCTATCTTTCTAAGATCAGAGGTTAAACATGACTTTAATGGCAGAGCCACCACGAGCACTGGTCTCAAATGCATCTTCAACCTCCTTCTGTGAAAAGCCAAACCTGTGAGTTATCAGCGGCTTCACATCTATCTTCCCACTCCTCAAGAAATCTATGCACAGCGGCCATGTGTTCTTGTACCGGAACACCCCAACCACATCTACCTCCCTGCACATGTTTCGCTTCCTTAAGTCGCAAGCCAACTTCAAGTTCAACTAAACTCCAGATCAAACCACAAACTTGCGAAAGAAGGGATTACTGACCTTGCGGCTGCAGGAGTCAGTGGCACTGTCATCTCATTGTGACCCATTCCTACGAGACACACTTTGCCACCTGGCCTTGTGACATTCAGTGCAGTCGTCATGGTCTTAGTGAACCCTGCACAGTCCAAAGTAATATCCACTGCTTCTCCCATGGCTTTCTTTATCAGGTCCACTTCTCCAGCCACATCCTGCAATCACAGTCCCTCCCTTTAAGTTTCCAGTAGTTGGTTTAACCTAACCCCATGAGGGTTGGAGAAAAGGCAGGTTTAAGAACCTCAGCTTTTGTAGACACTTGAACAGTCTCACTAGCGCCAAGATCCTTGGCAACAGATAAGCGAAACTCGTCCACATCCACAATCACAACCCTTGGTGCCCCAAAAGCACGAGCAGCCAGCAGCGCGACGAGGCCAATGGGCCCAGCTCCCATGATCAAGACATTAGTCTCGGGACCAACATTGGCTCGACGACAGGCATGGACTCCAACGCTCAAGGGCTCACACATTGCTCCCTCCTCCAAGCTTATGTCGTCGGGTAGCTTGAAACAAAGGTCTGCTGGATGCACCACCTGCAACAATCGTCAGAGTAAAGAATAAAGATTGGAGCTTTAGTCAGAACACTGGCTCAGCTAGGAAATGGTGGCTTGCGGGTCAATCAACCTGATTGGCGAGAGAGCCATGAACCGGTGGAGTTGCGAAGAACTTCATCTCGGGACAAAGGTTGTAACTTCCTTGTTTGCAGTAGCTGCATCTCCAGCAGCTGATCCCAGGCTCCAATGCCACACGATCCCCCGGGACAAGATGAGTTACTTCACTACCAATCTCCTCTATGATTCCAGCACATTCGTGGCCAATCACCATTGGCTCTTCCACCACAAAATGTGCACATCTCAAGGTCTGAAAAAAATTGACAGGATGATGGTAAAGACAAAGATCATCAATTTTTCAACAAATTGGTCCACTTCAGAATAGAGTTCCCGCTTGATAGGGGGAGAAGAGGGTAGCGGGGAATCCATTCCAATCTTCACTGATGCGTGTAATAATCAATCATAATAATAAAGGAATTATGGGCCAAAGAAGGTGACCTTAAGGTAGTGAACATCACTCCCGCAGATTCCAACCGCTTTCATCCTTACCCTAACATCATGCGGTCCTAAAAAGCACAGAGCTTTCAACTTTAGAATCGAATCAACTAGAAAGGGTAGAGAAGTTATCAAATTCAATCAAAGCAAAACCCACTAGGCCAAAAAGGTGTTTCATGTTTTGTTCTATTTGCCAGAGGTATACTAGTAAACAGAGGAATAAGTAAGGAGATAAAGAAGAACCGAGTGAAGGGAGCTCGAAAGGTTGAATCTTGAGGGTGTTGACTGCGACCAGCCAAGCTGCCATGTTCTCTTCTCCTCCATTCTTCGCATCTCCTTGCGAACCCATCTTTCTCTACCCGTTCGAACCTCCAAAAAACTCGAGCTTAGATGGAGGGATGGACTGAGAGTGAGGGGAAAAGCAACAGAAGAAACCTACAGTAGCCCAGAAAAAGAGGCGATTTGCTGAAAAATGCGAGAAAGCGACTGGGAGCTTGGGAAGGAAGTATAGAATCATGGTGGGCAATGGGCACGAGGGGATGAGTCAGATCAGTTGAAGGGATAAGGCACCACATGTTTTTTTGTCGCAATCCGAATATAAAACAAAATTTGCATAAATGATTTTCATAAGATCTAGAAATTTATTTTCCAAGAATAATTTATATTTGGAATAAAGAAATTTATTTTTAATTCTAAATTTTGAATTTTGCAGAATTGATGCTAGTTTTACCAATTCCACAAAATGACATAACTATCCACAATTATTTTAAGTAAATCACCCCTATGTATAATTTGGAGTCAATACTACATATTTGCACGCCTAACCTTTCTCGTCGAGCCACTACTTAACCTAATATATTATCATCATTTGGCTCTTATATCCTCTTTTGTGTGCTTTCCGAGTGACTCTCATAGTTTCATTCTTATGCTAAGCTGCAAGTGTGCTGCTACTTATTCCTCATTTTTGCTTGGTCGGATTTGTTGGATGATAATTTAGACACTTTGACTTTTAGAAAATAGATTTTCAATGAGTAATAGCAATGGTATTTTTGTTGGAAATTTATAAGAGTTTAGTTGGAAACTTTCAATTTAATTCAACTTTGCACATATTCAAACATGATTTGGAAAATAAATTCAATTTTATTTCTCAAAATTTGAATATTACGTTTCGAATACAAAAATTAATTTGAAAATGGATTATATACACGAAAATAAAATAAATTCTCAATTCATCTTATTCCAAACGATAAATCCGTAATTTTTTTGGCACGCACAATCTCGGAATTTGTCCCAATCGCAACTCTCTACTGTATCAGGGTTTTTTTTTTTTTTTTTGCCTTCACCACATCAGATGTTTGGGTTTTGCCAAAAAATCAAAATTCCTGATTTTTCTACGGTTCGTTCTGAATTTCAATCCGAACACGTATAGTTATTACTCTGTTTCCAGGATTCGTTGGAGAGCCGTTAAGGATGACGACTGATGAAAAAGAATAGATCACACATCGAAATTAAGATAAGCTTGGCCTGCTGTTTACATCTAAAATATTTTTGGCCTAAATTCAATGCCGTAATAATGACTCCCGGCATTTAACTCGATATCGCATGGCCAAAACGATGTCGTGTGGAGTCGAACAATACCGCGGAGAATTTAAGCGAGACCGCGAAGAGGCTCGGCGGTACCGCGGTTCTTGAAACGACATTGGTTGCAGACCATGTGTGAGTCATGCGCAGGACATGTGTTGTTATTGGACAAGGAATGTTTTTTATTTTATTTTTTCCTTGTCGGAGGAGGAGAGTAACAGCACCGTTTGGAGTCAAGCAATGCCGCGAAGAGATAAAACGGTACCGCGAGTAGGCCCAACGGTACCGCGGATTAGCAAACGACAGTGTTTAATAATAAACAGTGTCGCGGAAGAAAAAATAAACGGAGCTGGTTGGGAAAGAAAACGACACCGCAAGGCTGGAAGCGGAGTCGTTTAATGTTAAAACGATGTCGCGGGTAGAATCAAGCGGTGCTGCTCAGTTAAAAACGACACCGTTTAAGGCATCAACAACGCCGCAGTATCACTAAGCGGTGTCGTTTAGTTAAAAACTATACCACAATGGTTTGGATTTTGGCGAGGCCTGGCAAGCACAACGGTGCCGTTTGGTTGAAAAAGAAACAATGTCGCGGAATGGAAAACGACATTGTTTGTCAGCATCGATTAGTGAAAGGTGATGCTCAGTTAAAAACGACACCGTTTAAGGCATCAACAACGCCGCAGTATCACTAAGCGGTGTCGTTTAGTTAAAAACCATACCACAATGGTTTGGATTTTGGCGAGGCCTGGCAAGCACAACGGTGCCGTTTGGTTGAAAAAGAAACAATGTCGCGGAATGGAAAACGACATTGTTTGTCAGCATCGATTAGTGAAAGGTGATGCTGCGGTATTGGTGAAACGACATCGTTGCATGGATAAGGTTGTAGGATTTGGCTCAATGTCGTTTCGCCAAGTTTCTGCAAACAGGAGCGGTTTCGATGGCACGTGATTTTTACGCAAAGCAGAAAGAGGAGATCAAGGCAGTTGAGACACGTGGGATTTCACAACGGAGCAGTTGAGGAAGCGGTTCCACCAAGCGTGAAGGCTACGAAGCAGTTTTTCGAATAAAAGCAGTGGAGCAAGGAGAGAGAAAGGGGACAACCAAATCAACACAGAACAACTCTGTCAAACTTATCTTTTTCTCTGTAACTCCTTCGCGGAGCTCTCCTTCCAGGAAGGATCTCCATAGTCATAGTCGTAGCGTAGTCGCGGAGCTCTCCACAGGAATCTCCATAGGAGTAGCGGTAGCGTAGATTCCTCAAAACTCAAACACCCTCGTTCGAACGTAGTTTGGAGAGGTGCGAACCGAATAACGGTTGTTTGATTAGAAGTCAAGGGTGTATCGATCAAATCAACGACGCCGACACCGGCGGCGGATATTTGACGATCTTCTTTGTTTTCTGTTCGATCGATCAAATCAACATCGCACGGAGGTGGATATTTGACGATCGTCATCGTTTTCAGAAGTCAGAGTTGCACCGATCAAATCAACGACGCCGACATTCGGTGGCGGATATTTGACGGTCGTCTCAATTTCAGCTATCAGCGGTGCATTCGATCAACGGCACCGCAAGAGTTTCCATCGCGAAACATCGAATCAACATCGCCGGGAACAAATTCGGCACCGGCGGTGGCATTTGGTTTTTTCGAGGAAACACCTGCCTAGAATGAAAAATTCTTGGACAGGATTTGGAATGAGATAACAAATTATTGATAGAATCTAATCCTAATGGTCCCCATATTCTCTAAAATGAAAAATAAAATAAAACTTTATGCTATGGATTTGCAAATCTGTTATGCAAGTCAGTCTCGTACCACAATATAATTAATTTTATTTGCATTACGACCAATGTATAAAAATAAAATTGACTAAACATTTATTGAATTTCATGAAGAAGTCACCATCTCAAACGTTTGACACGAGTCGCTTTGCCAATTACAGTTTAATTAATAGGGCTAATTCTTGGGCTAAGTTCCTTGGGCCTGGACCAGTGAGCTGTTTGGGCCTAACAATCTACTAACTCACTTCATTGATTTCTTATTTCAATCTCTTCCAACTCTTTTGCTTCCCCAAATCTCTTCCATGACGTTATAATCCATCCACTTTGAGTTTTTAATTGTAACCCCTCTCTGCTTTTGTGATTACATCACAATGGATCACACTACCTAATTGTGATTATTCAATTGGTAACGTCGCCAGGTATCTTTAAGTTTACTAATCAGTTTGGTAATGAGGAGTCGAAGTTGTCTACAATTCCAACACTACAAAATCTAAATTTGGCTCCCGTCAATTATCATAGACAGGCCTACCTAAACCCCCCAATTGAATGAATCGTTATCTATGGAATTAAATGTAAGGCCATTATACTTATCAAATACTTGTAATCTACACACGGCCACATCATCATCGTCCTTGACACATAAATTCCTAATATATTCAGAATTTCAAAATAATTCAGACAATTTGGCTCGATTCGTTGGTTAACCGTCAACTTGAACGGTTAAACACTTTGACTGATAGTCTTAAGACAAAGCCAACATGAAAATATAATAAAAATACAAAGCTTTAAATCAAATTTTAAAATACCTTTTTCATTTATAATATTCATTTCATGATTTTGTTGACGACGTGGCTTCAATGTGTGCTTAACCGTTAGCTACATCAGTAAATTTAACAGAGAACTAACGATTGGCTATATTTGTCTAACAATCTAAAACGTTTGGCTATTTTTCTTAAATTTTTCATAGATTTGGCTCTTTTTTGTTCAAACTTTGAAGGTTTGCCTATTTTTTGTGCATTTACTCAAAGATAATTTTGGATAACTTTTCCACAAATAAGTGAGGTGTACATTTATTATTTCAAAAAAGTCAGGTGTACATATATTAATATAATTTAATATGGTCTAATCGGCAATCATCCAATATCGGTCAAACATTTATTGAAGATTTTAGGATAAGCTCATTTTAGTCCTTAATTTAATTTCTAAACCTTATATTCAAATTTGACAATTTGTATTATCATTTTAGGAAGCAACCGATAATAATCAACACATAGGATAAGAGTTCAAAACAAATCCATATCACTTCGATCCTTATCCAACTTCCAAACATCCTTGTTTTGACTTTTGAAGTGACAGATTTTAGACAAAACATGATACAAGCATAATGTCTATAGAAAAAAAAAAAACTTAAAATTCTTATTCTCTTAATAGAATCGTAATCGATTACTTGCCAATAATACAACAAATATGTATATAATCGACAATATCATAACTTTATAATGCGACCAAGATCATTACATGTACTTTTTATTTTATAAACGATTACTAACGTATTTTTATTTTGGTCATTGATTAACAAATTCAAAGCGAATCAGATAACCAATCCAAAGAACAGTATAAGAAATACTGAAGGTTAGTATTTAGAATTAATTTCAATTTCTCTTTATGTTTTCATATGCAAAAAACGGAGACAGAAAGTGTAAATAGTTTACATTTTCATCTCTTGCTACGACACCAAGAGTTGAATAGCACAACACATATCAACAGAACCACTTCAAGTAGCTTTTACGACGACCCAAATGCGAACGGTCATGACCCTGATTTTAGGAGTTCAATGTTCAAAATTCTGAAAACACAAACTAAACACCTTTCTTTATATCTCAATTGTCAATCATATTACAAAATGGAATAGATACTAAACAAGTGCTAATCGTCGATATTTGGCTAGTTCGTGTAGAGAAATTTACCCTTACCCTTTCTTTCATCCTTGTTCGAGATTCTTGTCGACCCACTTGTCTTTTTGTTTTGTAGCGCCATGCAATGGCCAAGAAAGCCTCAAAAAGAGCATACCAATATCTTAATTCCCGTCTAAAACATCACCAATTCATCACCTACCAACAACACAAAGGGTTAAAATTAGGGTACGGAACAGTGATTGTGGTCCAGGTAGAGTGAAAGAGAGAGATCAATTTTCATACACTAGCTATTTTTTCTATCCTGGTGCGCGAGCCTGAAAAAAAAGAGCAAAACCGGCTCGCTATAAATCGTTACCAACCCCCGCTCTCTACTTCCCGGACAATATATATACCTCTCCGCCCCTCTTCATAGGCTGACGAACGCTCTCTCATCTCACATTTCCATTTTCTCTTCCGCCGCAGGAATAAGAAGAAAAAAAACAGAGCAGAACAATGGCGGATAGTGCTGAAATCATGGTGCAGAAGAATGGAGGAGAGGAAGAGAACATGGCCGCTTGGCTTCTCGGTGTCAACACCCTCAGGATTCAGCCTTACCAGCTTCCTCCTCTTGGTAAAGTTTTCTCCTTTCTCCCCCCATTTCTATTAAACCCTTGTTCTTTTCTTATTCGAACATTAATCTGCAGCCATTTGTGAAAACTGGGTATTTCAAGGGATTCCCCTCCATCGTCAAATTTTGGGACTGGAAATGTCGAACCCAAAATGAGAGAAAAGGAGAGAAAAGCTTGATAATGACCCTTTTGTCTCATCATGGATCATGGATTTGCCAGTGCTTAACCTTTTGCTCTATCTATTTGTCTCTGCCTCTTCGTAGGTCCTCATGATGTCAAAGTAGGCATAAAGGCGCTTGGCATTTGTGGAAGTGATGTTCATCACTTCAAGGTGACAAAACAAAAACATAAATACACTTGCCTTCTTGATTTCTCATGTTTTTCTTCATGATTCGTTGTAAAGCTGTTTACTTTAAACCTTCCAGAAGTTGTATGGTTTGAATCTGTCTTGGTGTTGCTGTGTGTTCTGTTTTTGACAGACAATGAGATGTGCCAATTTCATAGTGAAGAAGCCCATGGTGATTGGCCATGAATGTGCTGGGATCATTGAAGCAGTAGGCAGTGAAGTGAAGAACCTTGCCCCCGGTGACCGTGTCGCCTTGGAGCCAGGGATCAGTTGCTCAAGATGCGACCTCTGCAAGAATGGCCGCTACAACTTGTGTTCTCAAATGAGGTTCTTTGGTTCTCCACCAACCAACGGTTCTCTTGCCAACAAGGTGATGATGACATATTCCTCCTTGCTTCTGCTAGAACTCTTTGGCTATTGAGGATTACTAATCAGGTTTCTTGCTGCAAATAGGTTGTCCACCCAGCGAGCCTATGCTACAAGCTGCCTGAGAACGTGAGCTTGGAGGAAGGAGCGATGTGCGAGCCCCTCAGTGTTGGTGTTCATGCCTGTCGCCGTGCTCAAGTTGGGCCGGAGACAAGTGTGTTGATCTTGGGAGCAGGTCCTATCGGCCTCATTACCTTGCTGGCTGCACGTGCATTCGGAGCCCCTCGAGTCGTGATGACCGATGTAGATGAGAGCCGTTTGGCCATTGCCAAGAGCCTTGGTGCTGATGAGCTCATTCAAGTCTCAACTGAAATGAAGGTTTGATCCATATTTGAAAACCATATGTCTTTTTGTTCAAATCTGTGGCTCATATGGGAACTAATGTGCCAAGTGAATGTGCTGACAGGATGCTAGTGACGAAGTGGTGAAGGTGCAAACTGCAATGGGTACAGGGATAGATGTGACATTTGACTGTGTGGGATACAACAAGACCATGACTACAGCTCTGAATGCAACTCGCTCTGGTGGGAAAGTTTGCCTCATTGGTTTGGCTCTGAGTGAGATGACCGTTCCACTCACCCCAGCTGCTGCTAGGTAATCCAACCGTTATCACGTCGATAGCTAACATGATCATCATTCCATTGGATGCGAAATGGATGGCTGATGAAAGATGCTGTTGTTTTTATGGTGTTGCAGGGAAGTAGATGTGATTGGGATATTCCGATACCGGAACACATGGCCACTCTGCCTCGATTTCTTGAAGACTGGCAAGATTGATGTGAAGCCATTGATAACTCACAGGTTTAAGTTTACCCAGGAGGGTGTAGATGCTGCTTTCGAGACTAGTGCTCGAGGCGGGAATGCCATTAAAGTCATGTTCAATCTCTAAGCAAATCGATTTAAGGGTGAAGGCGGAGTGGATAAGCTATTGCTGAGATTTCTCTGTTATGTTTCTGTAGTTTGGGGTGGCTATGGGAGGAAAGCTAAATTCAGAAAAGTCTTGTACCGAGTCGCTCAATAATAAGATTGCCTCCTCGGGCAAATCATTTCCACCATTTCTGTATGCTTAAAAAGCTATGACCTCAATCTCCAACAAACACTGAGATGATGCCAGGAACCTGCCAAATTGTATTGCCATGACAGAGGGAAAAACAGGGGATGTTCAAACCAGTTGAATTTGGGGAAAATAGTTGTAAATCTAACCACTGGCGAAACACAATCGAATCCAGAAGATGAAATCACTGGGAAAGCTCAGAAATATTATAGGGGGAAAAGTAAAGTTATGGACTTTACTTTCCTCTGCTTCTCCCAAGACCGCCAAAAAGGCCGATATCATCGTGGCCCTCGGGGCGGCTCTTGACCATAGAGATAAGAGTCCGTAGCGTTATCGTCTACAATAATGCAGCCAGTGGACCACATGCTTGGAATGGGCAAAGTTCGAGAGCAACTCCAGTTTCACCAACCGACACATTGGACTCTCTCGAGAAAAAGGAGATTGCTTTGAAATGAGTGGACCAATGCTTGCTCAAACTACTATTAAAGAACGAAAGTTAGCACATTTAGAACACCAATCTTTAGGAATTACTTTACTCCCAAATGGATTGAAGCACCCAGAAGTGTACAAAACTCGGAAGCAACCGCACCTGTAAAATTGAATAGCTAACATCTACTCTGCTTGATTTGGCTCAACTCCCAATTGATGGTTAACAGTAGAGACCGATCAGTAGGAAGTTTGTCCTCTACCCCCAAGTTCAAAGTTTGGGTCGGATGTGCTACTGAGAAAGACAGTAAAAAGACAATCGAATCAATCTTTGATACATCCATGACTATGTGGTAGAACAATGGCTGCAAAGAAATATGGACCCGCCCTGTCGCTGTTGACAATGAATGTCGCAGTCCCTTTCAATCCTTAGGACCAAAAGAGTGTGGCTTCACTTCAATCGCAGAGCAGTTTCAACATGGCTGGGATGGTCCTGCCCTGTGCCTTGGCCATGATGCAAAGAACAAATCAGCCGAGCTATCTCATTAGATGTGGTGACGCGGAAGATGATAAGCTTTAAGATTACTTCCCACAGCATGCCTCTTCAGTTGATGATTAACAGTAGACCGATCGGTAGGAAGTTTGTCCTGTACCCCCAAGTTCAAAGTTTGGGACGGATCTGATACTGAGAAAGACAGTAAAAAGACAATCGAATCAATCTTTGATACATCTATGACTATGTGGAAGAATAATGGCTGCAAAGATATATGGACCTGCCCTGTCGCTGTTGCCAATGAATGTTGCATTCCCTTTCCATCCTTAGGACCAAAAGAGTGTGGCTTTACTCCAATCGCAGAGCAGTTTCAACATGGCTGGGATGGTCCTGCCCTCTGCCGTGGCCATGATGCAAAGAACAAATCAGCCGAGCTATCTCATTAGATGTGGCTGACGTGAAAGATGATTACCTTTAAGCTTACTTCCCGCAACATGCCTGTTCAATTGGTCAACTCATTAAGGCAACCAAATCATTTTACAGAAGAATCTACAAGGTCGGTTTGATCATTGATGAGGATGAACCGACCCATCTCCATCATTCCCTTCAATGGAGCTCCAACCAGAAGGCTTTCCCACAGCTCTTTCCAACATTAATTTTCTCACTTCATCAGCATCTTCCCATCTGTCTGAACTTGCATATGAATTAGACAAGAAAACGTAATTCCCACTATTGAAAGGATCCAACTCGAGCAGCTTCTTGGTGACAATCTCAGCTAACTCTAAATTACCATGGAGCGTACATGCACCTAACAAAATTCTCCATATCACAACATCTGGCAATATCGGCATTGCTTTTATAAACTCATAAGCTCTCTCTAAGTTACCTGAGCGACTCAACAGGTCCACAACACATCCATAATGTTTCATCTCTGGCTTTAGGCCATATACCTTTTCCATGGTCTCAAGATACTCCAATCCTGTATCTACCTGCCCAGAATGTTTGCAAGCGATTAAAATTCCAATGAAGGTACCATGAGTTGGATGTATACCTTCTCTAAGCATTCGGGAGAAGAGGTTTATTGCATCATCAGCCAGACCATTGACAGCTAGCCCAGAGATAATAGATGTCCACGAAACACTGTCCTTGTGTTTCATTCCATGAAATACATCTAGTGATTTCTCAACTGCGCCGCATTTGCTGTACATATCTACCAAGGCATTACCTACAAAGACATCTTCTTTTATTCCGTGTTGACGAACATAGTCATGAATTGCCTGTCCAGCATCAGCAGAGCCCAGGTGAGCACAGGCAGAGAGCACACTAGCTACTGTGATCTCATCAGGTTTTATATTAGCTCCCATCATATCTTGGAAAGTTTTGACTGCATCAGAAAATTGGTTAGCTTTACAATACCCCGTGATCATCGAAGTCCATGAGATGACATCTCTTCTAGGGGTATCCTCGAAAACTTTCCTTGCAGCAACCAAGTTCCCTGATTTTACATAGGCCCTAATCATTGCATTCCAAGAAACTATATTCCTCGCTTGCATCCTATCAAAAATACCCTGAGCAAAATCCACCGAGCCACGCTGGCCATACATATCAATAAGAGCATTACCTAAATAAACATCAATTCCTACTTTGTTGTCTTCAATGTACTTGACCATTAAATCTGCTGTATGCTGTTCGCCTACGTGAAGACAAGCCAATATGGCTTTGACCATTGTTACAGCATCAGCCTTCACATTGGCTTCCTGCATCAAACCAAAAATACCCAAAACCTCCTTAAACTTCTTGCAGTCAGCATAAGCACAGATCAATGAGTTCCAAGAAACCAAGTCTCGCTGCCCCATTTCATCGAACACCTTGCGTGCAGGCACACAATCCCCCAAAGAGCCATACATATGTATCAAAACATTTGACACAGACAAATCCGAATCACACCCAAGTTTCGAACAATGGGCATGAAACAATTGACCAAGGAAGACGTCCCTGACACGACCGCACGACTTGAAAAGAAAGATCATCGTCAGAGTATCCCCAACAATCCCCTGGCGATACATTTGGTTGACGTACATTTCAATCGCTTCGATGGGTTGATAAAGCGCCAGGCCGCGGATCAAGTGATTGAAAATTGGCCTCGTCGGGAACTCAATTTGGTTGACGGCGAGACGGGCTTTGCCGAAATGAGACGGAGACAGAGCGTACCATTTGATTACGTCGGACATTGCATATGGGTATGATTGGAGTCGGAGTCTGATGAGATGCGCGTGCCGCGCTTTGACGGGGTTGATGGGAGGTTGACCCTCCACGCCTCGCTTTAAGATATGCGAAGTGGGCCTTGGCAGCTTCATCGGAAAGGACAACGGCGACGATTAAGCGCCAAATTCGAATTGCGAACCCGTTTATTTTCCCTCCTTGCCGTTTCCACCCTTTCCTGGCCAAGAATTGCAATTGTTGGAAACCAGTGCCCAGTGCTCTGAGGTGTTATGTATGCTTCAGCGGGCGAACTCTGAAGTCCTACAGGCTCGTATTTTCCAACTTCGGGGAGGAATTCGCCATCGAGTTGAGAATCGTCGGCCGACTCAGAAGAGCCAGCGAGTCCCCAGCTCAGGCGAGACGAGATTTCTTTCTAGTGGAGTACGCGGGCTACAGGGTACAGACAGTAACGCTTAACTTGATCATGTTGTAGGCCCATTGAGATCGTATTGAGCCTACAAGGGTTCGAAAGCTTAGGAGGTAAGGCCCATAATTGAGAAGGCCTACCAATTGTCCTAACGGCGCAGGCCTTTCACTGTCGGCCCGTCAACAACATGCTTGGCCTGTTGTTGCTTTTTTTATTCAAGGCAAACTTAGGGGATGCGTTAGGGTTAGGGATGGCAATGGGTCGGGTTGGGTCGGGTTTTGCCAAACCCAAACCCAAACCCATGGGTTTATCTTTGAAAAAAACCGGGGTAAAACCCATTGGGTTTGAAAAACTCAAACCCAACCCAACCCGTTGGCTATCCGCGGGTTCATGGGTACCCACGGGTTTTGTCGTAAAAAATTTACAATTACAAGTTCTTATCAAAATTAAAGTCAAATATCAATTTCTCAATACAACTTATCCATATATAAAACACCATTCTAGAAAATTCAAGCAAATCACAAATTAACTATACAAATTGTTCAACACCAATCTAGAAAACTCAAGAAAATTGAAGCAAATCACAAATTATCCATAAATAACATGTTTAATTGAAAGCTTCTTCCTTTCAATTAAGTTTCTTTACTCTCCACTCCATAACATCAACTTCATTCTACACAATTAAAAAGAAAAAATTAGACATGTCTCCACAAACATAAATAAGATTAGTTGTTTAGAATATTAAATATACCGAAAAATTAATTATATGGGTGGGCGGGTACCCACGGGCCGGGTTTACCTAAACCCAAACCCAACCCAACCCGGTGAATAGTGAACGGGTTTAAACCCAAACCCGGCCCAAAACCCGTCAACACGGATTTTACCCGCGTTGACCGAGTTGGGTCGGGTGGGTACCCGTGGGTTCGGGTTTTGTTGCCATCCCTAGTTAGGGTGGAAACTGAATTTCTAGTAGCCACCGTGGCTACATCAGTATCCACCATTTATTTTCTTCTCTTTCCTCTTTTTTTAATCTTACGGTTAAGATTGCCTCAGGATAATTTTGGAAGAAAAAGAAGGACCACACTTGATTATTCTATATATTCTACTCTAACCCTACTTCTACAGCCAAACCCGCCGTAGCCGCAAGCTCTCACCAGTCACCACCCAATCGACCTAATCAAGGTCCGGATGCAGCTCCAGGGCGAATCCTCCGCCTCCACCGCCGCCCTTCGACCAGCCCTCGCCTTTCCTCACCACCACCACGGGACCTCAATTCACATCCCCGCGCCGCCCCGCGTCGGCCCAATCGCGATCGGCGCTCGAATCGTCCAGCAGGAAGGCGTCAAGGCCCTGTTCTCCGGCAGGAAGGGATCGGAACTACACCAGCGTGGTGGACGCGATCGCGAGGATGTCACGGCAGGAAGGGATTGGAAGCCTGTGGCGCGGGTCGGCGATGGCGGTGAACAGGGCAATGCTGGTGACGGCGTCGCAATTGGCGTCGTACGACCAGTTCAAGGAGACGATTCTGGAGAAAGGGGTGATGGGCGACGGGCTGGGGACCCACGTGACGGCGAGCTTCGTGGCGGGGTTCGTGGCGGCGGTGGTTTCGAACCCGGTGGATGTGATCAAGAATCCCACTCCCCTGGGGCCATTACAACTTCAACTTGTTCAGATTAGTGTGGAGGACCATCTTCGTCATTACCACAATTCTAATCTCCATGTTGCTCCCGTACTTCAACGACATCGTGGGTCTTTTGCGGTCGGTGGGGTTCTGGCCGATGACCGTTTACTTCCCGGTGGAGATGTACATTGGTATGTTTTTTTTTTAAATGGTAGTCATTTTTTTCCCCGTAGTGGTAGTGTTATTGTCGTATTGGTATTGTTTTTGTTTCATTGGTATTGATTTCGTCGCATTGGTATTGATTTTGTTATATTGGTATTGATTTTGTCGCATTGGTAGTGATTAAATCTACAATGGTATTGATGTTTTGTGAAATGGTAGTGTTTTTATTTCTTGAATGGTATTGATATTTTGTACAAGGGTTAATAGCATTTTGTACCCCTCTACTTTTGCAAATTAACAAACGTACTCCTCTACTAAAATTTTGCACAAACATACCCCTTTAATATTAAATTGTAACAATTTTACCCTTTCATCTAATTATCCGTTAAGTGACCGTTAAATGGGTTAGGAAATGACCCAATTGGCCCCTCCTCTACACTTAATTTTAGTTTTAATTATTTTATTATTTATGTCCATGATCATCTAATTAGAAAAAAGAAAAACCCTAAATAAATTTAGAATCACGAGAGTCAGAGACACAGAGACAATCCGTCTCCCTGAAGCCTTCCCTGGAACCTACTCCCGCAACTACTCGCCGACGCCAAGCTCCTCGCCAACTGCCCACGTTGGTCACTCCCCTCTCCTGCCAATTAATGTTTGTTTGCTTGGGTTGGATTTATCCCCAAGTCAAAGCAGATTAAATTGACCATGGCGAAGGGTTGTCTTTGGGTTTTATTTTGATTTATGCTAGAGGTCTCCTCGGCTTAGTGTCGAACTCGCCGGACGCTGCCATTTTCACCAACGTATCCCCCGCACCTCCACCAACCAGATCACCTCGACTCAGCTTCTCCCCCGTCGACGCAAGCTTCCCCATCATTCCGTCTCCATCCGTTGCTTGCCGTTGGCGAGGAGTTGCGGGAGTAGGCGCCGCCGGCGAGGAGGCGCGGGAGCAGGTTCCAGAGAAGGCTTTAGGGAGACGGATGGTCTCTGACTCTCTCGGGTGCTTCAAAATTTGTATAGGGTTTTTATTTTTCTAATTAATTGATCATGAACATAAATAAATAAATAAATTGATATTAAGAGTAAACGAGGGGTAATTTGGTCATTTCTTGACCTATTTAACGGTCACTTAACGGATAATTAGATGGAAGGGTAAACTTGTTACGATTTGATATTAGAGGGGTATGTTTGTGCAAAATTTTAGTAGAAGGATATGTTTGTTAATTTACCATAGTAGAGGGGTACAAAATGCTATTAACCCTTTGTACAATGGTAGTATTTTTTTAATGGATTGGTATTGATTTATTGTTTTGTTTTTGCAGCGGTATTAATTTGGATGAACGAAATCAAGGAAAGATTGAGAAAAAGAAGGAAGAGAGATCTGGCTGAAAATTGTGGAAGTGAGAGAAAGAGAGAGAGAAAAATTGTATTTAATATATTTATGTAATTTATTAAAAAATATCATTAATAAATTTTTTGTTATACCCAATTTACCTTTAGTAACCACGGTGATTACTATAAAATAGTAATCACCGTAACCTGTCCCGCAAACTTAGAGGGCGTAGTAGGAAGGATCACTTACAAGACTGATTCAACCCATTCGTGGTAGTCAATGAGCAATCAAATTCGTGATGATAGGTGTTATTTTGCTACTACGTTGACAGCTCACGAAAAATTATCTATCAATTTAGTGTGTTAACAATCGGCCAGTAATATAATGATTTCACAAACACCGTTTTTTCCTCGTATATTACATGCATTCTTAATCGTACGATTGAAAAGGCAAAGGATGCTGGCCATTAACGCACATCATTCACCTGCTGATTACATAATTAATAATTTCAATGGATGGATGGATGCTGACTAATCTCATTTTTATTCCACGACTCTTCATATTGCAAAATTGACCCAATTAACACATATTTAATATTCAGTGTACATTAGATTTCCCCACGGGAATCCCACTCAATTTCCCGGTCGACAAAATTGACTGCCTTTATATTCAGACGAATAAATTTGGAATACATATGATTAATTGAGAGAATAAGAAGGTGAATAATGAATAATATGAACTACTATATATAGTTTGCAAGGGATGACGACTGATAATAGGGGTGGGCAACGGGACGGGACGGGATATCCGTCCCGTTTTAAACGGGTACCCAGTCCCATTTGGAGACCAAAGTCCATCCCATATCCCAAATCCATATGGAAAACGGGTACCCATTACCCGTACGGGACGGATAACGGGTACCCATACTACCCATAAATACCCAAAGTTTAAACCACTAAAATTTTAACAAAAGTTTAAACTTAACTTGTATTTGCTTAACAATCACAAGACACAAAATACATCCCAATCACAAATACTTGGTTTGCAAATTACACATTCATGAACAATCACAACACATAGAAATAAATCATTTCAAGTACCAAATTATCAAAAAAATAATTTCATTCAACACATCCCAACCCTCTCTACTAATTCACCAAACATGTCAGTGAAAGAGTGAAAGGGTAAGGGCCCAAATGGAATTGAAAGGGTAAGGGCCGAAATGGCCAATGGGTTTTGAATTGGGTTGGGCTGAATTAAATTTCTGCATTTATATTGAATGGGTATAACGGGTACCCATATTACCCAAACGGGTATTCGCGGGTACCCATATTAGGAATGTACAATCCCAAGTCCCATCTGTTTATAATATTACGGGTAATATGGGTACCCGTAACCCTTAAAAAACGGGACGGGTACGGATATACCCAAATACCCGTTTCCCGTTGCCCACCCCTAGATAATGAGTCAGCTTGCTGGGTTGGATGGTTTAAGTTTCATTTATGTGTATGTATGGGTTAGGTTACCCAAAATTTGGTATTCCTGTCAGTTGGGGATGATGCATCATCCTAAAGACCTAAACGTAACACACAAAGCAATCATTTTCATTTGGTCAACTATCTGCCTGCTTCCCTTCTAAAGGAAGGGGAAAGTTGTTGATTTACGCAAGTCAAACAGGAGAGGAAAGGAAAGGAAAGGAAGAGTTGTTAATGTTGTTTATGAATTTGTTTAAGGGTTGCTTCAAAACGACAGGGTACTTTGGACCATGCATGTAGCTTGAAAGATCATGGTTGTGAAATCGTATTACAGATTAGATTAAATAAATTAGTGCAGTGATGGAGTATTTTAGATTTGATGTGAGTGTGTATTGAATGTAAGATCTTCCTGTTATTGTATATAGTTTTCAAAAAAAGAGTATTTTGTGATTTCTATTTATACTTCTAAGTAATATATTTTGTAACCGAATTTAATATAATCGAGAATTCAAAACTTAGTGACGTTTCTTGCTAAATTAGGAAATCGAATGTTTAGAATTTCATATTGCTTCTTGTTTGTTTCATATCTCTTGATGTTTGGTGAAGAGGCTTTGAAGCATAAACGTCTACCAAACTCTGAATTTCCGATTCTAATTTGTACCATGAAAAAGATCCAAAAATTATGAGCACTCGGATTTGGATTGACCTTTATCATATCCAATCGACAACGTAGAGTATCACCATACCAAACACAAAATACTTCAATTAGGTTCTAATTTGTGACACACCCCTTAAGCGCTTACACACAAATCTTCCAAATTAAAATCTCAAATCTACCTTTCTTTTAGTACACTTCTACCATCGCACCATCTAATACCTCTCTTATCGTCTTCCTCTCATAATTAGTTTGCCTACCCAACTAGTACTCACTTTCCCTCATCATCTCTTTTACATCTCAATCTGTAAAATCTACTAAAACGCGGAAGCACAACACAACGATTTACGTGGTTTTCCCGTTCCGTGAGAACGAGACTACTCCGCGGAGAGTCGAAGTTCTCGGTTTATCTTATTATGTTTCGCGGTATATGAGCTGCGCATGATACAAGACTCGGCCAAACACTCTCCCTAATATACCCTTTCTACAACGCTGCTAGGTTAATTAGGTTACAAAGGGAAAATAACCAAAAGGTCCTCCAAGAAGAAAATATGTACAAGGAGATACACGGGTTAACACTGCCACGAATAGGCAAGGCCACGACACCACGAATAGGCACGACACGACACGATTTGAACCTTGCCCGGGCCTGGGCAGGCCTAGCAAAGTTAACAATTGGGCTTGCATGGCACGACATGAAAACTGACAGGTCGTGCCATGCACGACACAAAATAAATGGGCCCAAAACGTGCCCGCCCAAGCACGGCCCAGCGCCCATGTACAATCCCGGACTCCTGGACCAGCCTTGGATGGAGGAAAGCTGTCGTCGACAAGCACTAACTTGTTCTTAGCGATTAGGGTTTTCGTCATGTCGTTTACCCATTCACCATAATTTGAGTTCGTCAAGAGATCACTCCCAAACAATTAGCCTGGATTCTCTGATGGGTGGAGATAAAGAGGGGAGGTCAGCGCAATAGTATCAACGTCGGTGACGACGGTCTTGCAACCTGAAGCCCCATCTTCGCCAGTCGTCATAGTCGCAAAAATTCAGAGTAAGATCACGACATGCTCTGATACCATGTAAAATCTAATAAAACGCGAAAGCACAACACAACGATTTACGTGGTTTCCCTGTCTGTGAGAACGGGACTACTCCACGGAGAGTCGAAACTCTCTGTTTATCTTATTATGTTTCGCAGTATATGAGCTGCACATGATACAAGATTCGGCCAAACACTTCTCCTAATATATCCTTTCAACGTTTTTAGGGTAATTAGGTTACAAAGGGAAAATAACCAAAAGGTCCTCCAAGGAGAAAGTATGTACAAGGAGATACTGTTAGAGAGTGGTATAAGATCGAGCATAACCTTCTCCCAACAACTCAAGTTATTGGGACCAACTAATTTATGACATGGTATCAAAGTTGGTTTGACCAAGTGGTCGTTTGTTCGAATCTCCACGACCCCCAATATTAATAGTTGATTAAAGCACAAGGTATGGTGGCCGGTCTGTGCAAACTTCAAGCCCATAGATTGACTTTCGTTTGAGGGGGAGTGTTAGAGAATGATATAAGATCCAGCATAACCTTCTCCCAACAACTCGAGTTATTGGGACCAACTGATTTATTACAGATTCACGGTTCAACACAATCCTCATACACGAATCCAAACTAAAGAAGTTTAGCCCATCTCATCCTGAAGCCCGGCCTTCAGGTTTGCCAAAGCTGTAGGCAAGCCCCTCGATCGGAAAGTCCAATGAGTTTATGGGTGAACTAGAAAGCGACCACCGACGATGCACTTCTAGTCTAGGGGCAGTTGGAGCTGACAAAGGAAGCTGGCCTGCCAAAACCAGACGATTGTACTAATTGGACCCTTAATTGATGAATTCCCACCCTCTCCTTTATGACTCAATCTCCCACTTCCCAAAAGTAAACTATACAAAGCATTTTCGACCCGGTTGACCGTGGACGGCGAGGACCTCCCCAGCCAGCCAAAAATGGCTACTAATTGGTCCCAGCAAGCACGCCAAATTAAGAAGCTGCCGAGTTATAACCTCAAAACGTTGAGACCGTCCAATCTACGAAGTTTTGGTCCACAAAAGAGATGGTGTAGTGGGTCAGGTTTGATCATGGCCACTACGACGAGCAACACGATCGAGCTGGGGTTAATTGGGTGAATGACAAGTGATTAACTTAAGTTGGTAGTTTTTGATTAGTTGGGGGGACTTATTAGGAGTTGGTTTGACAATCACTTTTTTGGCTAATACTGTTTAGTTGAATGGGATCGCCGCCTATACATTTATCTGGACACTAATCACCCTATCAATGTCATTTCTGCTCTGTCCAACCACCAAAACACTATTTGGTTTGGTTTGGTTTGGAGGCCTTTCGATGTTAGATTGTTAGGATTCTTTAAATCGTGTTTATATATTCTAGTTCACTTGTTTTATGTTTTGATCTTGCTTTTTGTCTAATCCAAAAAGCGTAGTGAATCTGTTTTTCCATACTCATGAATTAGTTAAGACTTAAGACTTAAGACACATCGTTCTAGTGAATCACATAAGTACTTGTATTATTTACGTTTTATTTTGTTTTATTGTACCAATCGTGTGTTTCGTTAGTAACACTTTTAGGAATTTTTTAAATGAGAGTTAGTAAAATTGATAAGAAGTTGAGAAGGGTGAATCTAAGGGGTCGTTAATGTGATTGTTTTCTTCTTTTTCTTATGCGCTTGGTTTTGTATATAAAAATTTGTTAATGTGATTGTTAAACATATATATTATCATATAAAAAAATAATACAATAGCAAGCTATATATGAAGCTAACAAACCCAACAAGCTAAAATCCTTTTTGGCTACACCACCCCACTATCCATTGACATATAACTTATTTTATTTTAATTTCGTTTTGCCCTGGTTGGGCTAGTTTATCCTGTAGTTTGGTGCGTGTTTCAAGTCCCACTCCACATACTTTTATTTGTTCATCCACAGCCCAACCAATATAGCAATACATCAATTATATAGTTGTGCATGAAATATTTTTGTAGTTAATAGTCCTCAAAAAATCCTTTTGTATTTAATAGTCCTCAAAGGCTCAAACCTATGTGTACATAGATATTGTTGAACAAGTTTTCTGCTATTAATCAGTCAAATTTCAAGACGTAGTTGTTTTCTCCTTCTTGTATTTGTAGCTTTTATTCGTGTGAGTGAACGCTAAATAATTGATAGCGCGTGAAACCATAAATATGAAAAAAAATGCAGATAAACACCTTCCAAATTATTATCAATCGATCCGATAGTAATGTAAGGATATTCAAAACCACCGTCGAAGTGTATTTTCATTCAATATATGGGATCTACAATTGCAACCCATTGAACAGTTACAGGCTCAAATCAGACGAGCAAATTCTCAAGGATTCAACAAAAACTAAAGATGACAGCCGAATGGTTAGCCGTATATTAAGACTTCCGATTGTATAACAAAAAGTCCTCTTAGTGATTAGTCGAAACCGTGAATGCAAAAACATATACAATCGAAACTAACAATGCACATCAAAGTAGTTAGATTCATCCGGTAACTTCATGATGCTCAAAACACTGCCGAAATAACTTAACCTCCATAGTCCGTTTGAACTGAATTACCCCGAATCTGTGTAAAGAAATCATTTGATTAGAAAATCTGTGTTAAGGAATCCATCAATAACTAAATCTGGACCCTTCATTTAGAAAATCCAGATCTAAGGATGGAGAATTAAAGGTCATTTTTATTTTCACTAGCTTTCTTAATTGACTCATATCTTTTTCGTTTTAACTCGGATTTTAATTTTTTTTGCACAGATGGAACGAGTTCATCGTGCTCTACAAAATGAGATCAATTTTCAATATTTTTTGAGGGAAAAAAAAATTTGGCCTCTCGGTACCAACTGCATACCATATGGTATCTTCTTCGTTTTTCATTCGTTTTTGAAAACGTTTGCACAGCGGGGACGAGTTCATCATGATCTATTGGATCTACAAATTTCTGGGTGAACAAATTACAAGACCAAAAAATACCACCAAATACCATACAATACCACCCTGGTACGGGGTGGTATTTTATGGTATTTTATGGTATACAATGTTAAAAGTCGTAAATGACAATTAATATACTTATACTATCATGTATTCAATCATCCTACAGTCTTGGTTTGTTCATACCACCATGGTACGCTTTTTAAACCATAGGTATGCTCTTATTTCAATACCAGTCAATACCATATGGTATAGACTGGTAAAAAATGGCTCAATTTTTTTTTGTTCGAAAAATATATCAAAGTGGATATCATTTTGAAGAGCACAATTAATCTGATCTAACTGTGCAAAAAAATTAAATTTCGACTTAAAACGAGTGAGAAATCGTCCGTCAAAGATTAAAAAGGGGAAAATTAAAGGCTTTCAAGGAGAGAGAGGATGCTAATGTCATGCTGATGTGAGCGGATTACTCATAGCTACTCACCATAAGGTTACTGACATGATCCATTCCCTAGTCCTCGTGTACTTTCTTTCTTATTAATCAAATTCCAATATGTCATTCTCCTTTACATAATCTGAAAGCTAATCCGTTGGCAACACCAAATAAGCAAAACACCATAAGTACACGTAACCCTGTTGTTTTTAATATTAAACCACAACTCAACACAAATACAGTTAGGTTTGGGAATTTTTAAACAAACATCCAATTTCCAAACTCTCCCCCACCCACCAAGTCCTTTTCAGTAAAATGAAACTAAGTGTGTCTTACGTGGAAGTTGAAACTCTTCCAACTCCACTCCCCCCACCAATATAGCCAAAAAAACCACCAACACGTCGTCGTATCGTATCATCTCAATTTGCTTCTTTCCCTCAAATACAAAACCGCCACATAGACCGGACTTCTCCCCTCTTTCATATAAATACACAACCCATAAGCCGCCCATAAGCCATAACCCCTCCATTGATTCTTTCTCTTCAGCTTCAAAAATTTCATCACAAACCTCAAACTGTAACTACTCTCTTCCTCCTCTATGGATCCCCCGAGGACGAGAAGAGCTAGAGCCGACGCGGCGGCGTGGTACTTGTCGACGATTCTGCTGGGGCTGATTCTGGTGGCGTCGATCAGGGAGAGCTACTCGTCGTTGGCGGAGACGGAGGCGGCGGCGGCGGCGGCGACGACGAGGGGAAACCGGCTGGGCGGTCGGGCGTGCGAGGAGATATACGTGGTGGGAGAAGGGGAGACGCTGAATACGATCAGCGACAAGTGCGGCGACCCGTACATCGTGGAGGAGAACCCGCATATCCATGACCCGGACGACGTCTTCCCGGGCCTCGTCATCAAGATCACCCCTTTCTTCCCCAGGATTAATTGCTAGTTTCTGCTTCCACACATAGTTAATAATTACTAGTTTTTTTTCTTTCTTTCTCTTATTAATTTTATTTTCTCCGGCGCCGGGAAGATGAAAATTAATTTTCTCATATATTTGTATATAGTGAGAGGTAAAAGAAGCCCACAGAAAACAAGATCCATCAATATACAAGCCTACGCAGCTGTTTTTGCTATTCTTTTTTTTTCCCCCCGCTATGCAGGCATGAATTAATTGCTGATCTCTCTTTTGATTTTACCTTATTTACGAGATCACTAGTTGGAGAGGGAGTGGGGGATAGTTGGTGGAGGTGGCCGGCCGGCTTGCTATTTTCCTCAAATTGGGAAATTTGTACAACATCCAACGGTGGAAACGGATTAGAAGAGTTAAGATCGCTTAAACTAAAAGTAATTTGGTCAACTATTTTGTACTCCATTTCTCTTTATGGTTAAAACTGGTCAATTATTCTTCATTTTTTTCGTTGAATCAAATTTTTTTTATTTTACCGTTTTTACACTATGTAATTGTTTCTAATGACGTACATATTGGTAGCATAATTTATTTTCATGGAATTTTACTAAATGTGAAAGAAATATAAGCTGCGTTCCACCGTTCCCCTCATCTCCTTTATTTTCTCTCTTGCGACAGATTTATTATTATTATTATTATTATTTTGAGGGAATTATTATTATTAGGACTTTGCTACGGTGAAATGCATGTCACAGTGACATGCACTTTTCGGTCGACCTCATGGAGGATTAGGTCGACCTAATCTGTTGTTTTAGTGTAAAAATAGTTTCATGGTGCCTACTTTGGAGATTCATATCTTAAAATTGGCTAGATAGAAATTGGAGATTAGTGGCTTGTTTTGAAGTTGAAGTGTCCCTCTACACATTAAAGTACTTGGGAGCTCGATAGGAAGTCCAGAAGACCATGCGTTTTGATCAGGTTCAAAAATGGTCTTCTGGACTTCATATCGAGCTCTCAAGCACTTCTATATGTAGAGGGACATTGCAGCTTCAAAACAAGTCATTAATCTTCAATATCCATCTAGCCAACTGTATGATATGAATCTCCAAAGTAGGCACCAACAAACTGTTTTTACACTGAAACAACAGATTATGTCGATCTAATCCTAAATGAGGTCAACCTAATCTTAAATAAGGTCGACCTAATCCTAAATGAGGTCGATCTAATCCTAACTAAGGTCGACCGAAAAGTGCAAGTCACCGTGATATGCAAGCGCAACCATTATTGTTGTTGTTTATGTATTTATTCACTATGAATGGATTCATCCTTTTCATCTATTCTCCTTTTCTGGTCTTGAATAGGCATAAATTTTTGCGGAGTCCCTTTGTATCAATTGATTATTTGTTGCATGAATGTTCGATGTGTCTTGAAGTGTCCTAAATACTTAGCTTAACTAATTAATATGTTTAATGAGTTATAATCCTTCATTGACGGAGCATTTTAATTAGTTAATATTTTTATGGTAATTCTTGGACCATTTCATTTAGATAGCTAGATTTGGTTACAATCTTTCCTCAAAAGGAGCATAAGAAAATAGGAGGAGGTCCAGTGATCCAAATTACCTTGGTCTCTCAACTATACATAGTGTGAGGTCGGTTTATTGAGATTTTGGTTCACAAAGTCAAAAGTCAACCCATTTATTAGTGGAGTCTCGGCTCTAATCTCCCTCCACATATCATCAATTTCGATATTTAAAAATACATGTGCCATATGATCAAACTTTACTACTCTGACGAATCAAATATTCACAAATCCGTAGAAAAGCATGAAACTGTATTTTCTTTCTTTATGTATGTGGTGGCCGGTGGGTTATGAGCTAAGAATCCTGAATTAAAGATGATTTTTTTTTTACACCATATTATATAAATATATTGTCCACGTATCCCCAATTTAACATCAACATCCCACCTAATTTTACCTGTGACTGCTGCTGCAGCGGGGTCTCTTGAAAGGAAGTTCAAACTTCTCCATTTGAAAGGGTCAAGTCTGCTGACGCAGTGACGCTTCTTCTAACTGAAATTTCAAAAATATTCAACGCAAGCCGTTTTATGTGCAGTTCATTGTTGTTGTTTCAGTGTTTTAGGTTACTCGATCCGTGGGAAAATATTTGTTGTTGTTTTCTTTTAGTTGCACGTGGACTATGGTATTCGTTTGCATTGATCCATCTATATTGGGCTCAAAAGCCCAAAGCATTGACAGGCCCTAGCAGGCAGTAGTTAGTTACAAGGCCTGGGCCCTTTTACAAGTGCTTGAATGGTCAGATTGGAAGCTCAAGTTGCTCCCTCCATCCCATGGGCCATGGATCTTCTGCCTTATTGAGAAAATAAAAGTAAAATAATATTTAATAATAAAGGGGATATCAAGAAGTTTAGTAGCAAGTAGCAACTAGCAAAGCTTGAGATTTTTTTTTTGACAAGGTAGCAAAGCTTGAGATGAAGAGACAAACTAAAGGTAAGATAACCTAACGGTAAAGCTGTCGCGACAGTGAAGGATTGAGAGTTGTAGATCCCCGGTTTGAATCCAAGCGATGTCTGTTGGTGTTACCGGAGGTACAAGGCTACTGGGGCGAAGTCCTGTTGGCGTCGAATTTGATTGCAGGTGGCCCTAGGTTTAGTAGGACCTGCTGTCACAAAATGACCCGTGGGGCTGAGATTCCTGGGTAATTAAAAAAAGAGATGAAGAGACAAAGTGTGTGCATAATTATCAGTTGACGTTTCACCTACCTGTTGTTAGGGTTGTTAATCGGTGCGGTTTCGGTTTAACTGAACCGCACCGTCGGTTAGCCGACACCGAAAACAGGGTGTATTCCCCAACCGAAGCCGACACCGAAGGGAGGATCGGTTAACCGCCAACCGCAACCGTCGGTTTCGGTTTGAAGTGACGGTTGCTCTAAGACCGACACACAACAACTCCGACCACCACCGTCGATGTGCATGTCACCGAAAATCAGATCTGAGTCCGCCGCGAATTCGGAGCTGATTCCACCGCGAATCGAGGTAGATGGGGGAGGAAGGGGAGAGAGTGTGAGAGGAGGATCTGGATCTGAATCCGTCGCCGGAGGCACAAGGAGGAAGATCGGAGATCGAGGACGACGGCAAACGACGGCGAAGGAAAGAGGTTGAGGACGACGGGGCGACGATTGACGAAAATCAAGATGCCGTTGCTGCTGCTGCTGATGATAATAATATGGAAGCTTCGCAACGCAAGGGAAAAGCTCCGATTGCGGATTATCATGACGACGATGAGTCGTGTTGTGGGCAGTACAGATGCGAAACGTGCAATAAGGGGTTCCGATCCTACCAAGCGCTGGGTGGCCACCGTGCCAGCCACAACAAGTCCTCCTCCGCCGCCAAATCCCTAGCGGACGACGGAGGAGAGGATGAAGATAACCGCTGGATCTCAACTCCAGCCCATTGGATGACGGCTTCGGTCTCATATTTTGACAGCGGCACGGTTAGGCGGTGCACCGCCAGCGGTTTCGGTTATAGCCGATAACCGCTCGGTTTCCGAATATGGGGATTTTATTCAACCGAAACCGCCACCGACAGACTGTTTTCGGTTTTCGGTTCGGTTTATAACCGTTCGGTTCGGGCCGGTTTTCGGTTTAGCCGAGAAACCGCCAACCGATTATCACCCCTACCTGTTGTGTTGTTTTCATTTTGCAGCTCGGATTTAATATCTTTGGGTAAATACAAAATATTAGCTAGAACTATTAAGTCGCGGGGAATTATAACCACAACTATCATATTACAAATTATTAGCCAATCGTTAGTTGTCCGTTAATGACCCGTTAGTTTGTCTGTCCGCAATGCTGACCTGGCCAATAAAAACTGAGGTGGATAAACCACGTGGCCGTCTACATGGCATAACTAAGATATGAAAAATAGAAAGTGTAGAAAAGGAAAGAAATTTACTTTTACCTCTCTCTCATACCCCCACCCTCCCACCCGAGTTATCCTCACCCACATCCTCTCGTATGTCTCTCCTCCTTCGTCTCCGAAGATCATCTGCCAACGTCACCGACGCAGATTCTCTACACGTCTTGCAGGAGATGCGGCGAGACTGCCATCGTCTGTTAGAGTCCACCCCACACTTTGTCCCACGAAGTCGCGCGACTGGGAAAGGAGAGGAGAAAGGAGAGCGCCGATTTGGCTTCTGTCGAAGTGGTGACGACTTTGAGTAGATAAAGCGAATCCGAAAGGTGGAAGTGACTGCTCGTTCGACGAAGGTAAGGTGGCCCTGACCTGGTTTTTCTGTCGAAATCTTACCAGTATTTCAAAATTAGGTTCTGAATGTTTAGGGTTTCTCAAATTCGAACATCACCAATTCTGATGGGTTAGGGTTTCTCGAATCCAGCCATTTGCTCCACTATTTATAGTTTGATTCTTTGAAACTGATTGTGCAAGTTGGGTGTGAGGACCACAGTGGTACCTTAACCGAAATTGTCCTTGTATGAACGTGAAAGAAACTTGATTTAGTGGATATAATTGTCAATTGCAGTGGTAGGGAATCCACTTTTGCCCATCTTTTAACAACCAACACATGTGAATAGGAATATTTTACTGTTGTTGGCTGCATCCTTCGAAAAATCCATTCTTTTTCGGTTGTTGGTTATACTTTATTGTTTTTTGTTGTGTCTGTTTGTTTAGAAGCAAAATAACAAAATGTATTTTACTTGACCATGTAGATGATTGAATATATGGAGATTTATTACCATCACGGAGGCGAGATGGACTTTTCTGGTGAGGCACCACGATATATGGGTGGTTTTGTGAGAAGTTCAACGTTGATGTTGATTAAGTGTCGTATTTTGTTCTAGTAATTGCAATGATCCAAAGATTTACTTTCACAAAGTTTTATAGTAAGATTACAAGACTCAAATGGAACTACATTTGTTTTCTACATATTGCAACACCGCTCAAACAAGGCAAAAATTGAATATTACACAACTGTTTTCTACATACTGTTATGCCACTCAAGTTCCCTGGAATCTACAGAATACAACATAAGCTACGACACCAATTATATAGAAGATCAGGTTTGTCATCCTGCTGTCAAGACTTTGGACCACAATGTTCATTCCGCTAGTCTCATAAATAATCCTTGCATGACCTTTTCTAGTTCTAATTAACTCTTCTAACAACTTGTTATTGCTTGCTTCCACTTCCATAAGTTTTGCCATGAAACCAGCCTTCCCAATTTCATGTGCAGACCACACTGATGCATTCCTTCTCATATATTTGTCCACCCATAGGAAGAATCGACAATCATCCGTCTACAAATGAAATCAAAGCTATTACTAAGTTGAATACATAGGTATACAAACAACCCAACGTCACAAACAAATATAATACCTTCCAATATGGACAGCAACAGAACTGCCTTCCTGGATTCCTACTAGTACCGGACTTGTTCATCATGCAAGGTTTGTTATGATAGCACCGAGGCCTGAATACGTCATTTGTGTTGGCCAAACAAGAAGAGCCATCCAAAGCAATCATGATTCTTCTTACTAACAATAAAACATCACATTTGTTATGATAGCATAGAGGCCTGAATACGTCATTTGTGTTGGCCAAACCAGAAGAGCCATCCAAAGTAGTCATGATTCTTCTTACTAACAATAAAACATCCCATTCGAAAATCAAAAACTAGAAGAGTCATCCAATTACAATCTACTTCGTCTACAACCTAATTCAAACTAGATGATGGAAATACCTAATTCGAGCCAGATGATGGAAAGAGGCAGGGTTAATACAACTTATCCTCGTGATTGGAAGACAAAGGTTTCCTCAATCGAATCAATCTTCTTCTGACCAGGAGGCAAACGCTCTGCCGGCGAGACAGTGGATGGGGAAGGAGAGGCCAAACACTAGACCGGCGGGAAGCGACCGCGGTGACAGTAGTGTCAATGGCGATGGAAGGCGGCGCCGGTGGCGACCTCCTCCCTCTTTGTGTCGTCTCTGCTCTGTCCTTGCTCGATAGCCAGCCCTAGGTTTTAGGATGAAGATTTCAACTGATAAAGGGTAAAAAAATTAATAAAAATAAAAAGTTAATTGTAATCCGACGTGGAATCTTCTTTGTGGCTGACGTGGCTAGTTCCGTTACGAAAATCGTCCCATTAGCGACGATTTAGCCATCCATTTAAACGGTAGAGTAGTTGTGGCTAATAATTTGTAATACGATAATTGTGGCTATAATTCCCCGCAACTTAATATTCTAACTAATATTTTATATTTACCCAATATCTTTTGATGTTCCTCATTTCAGTGGCCTAGCCAAAAAATTTACTCAAGTGAGATTAAAAGATAATCGATTGTAATGTGTGTCTTTAATGGTAAGCTAGGGGAAAAGACCTATAGCTCCAATTGTCTAAAAAAATTTCATAGCTTATCCCAACAAACACCCTACAATTCACTCCGGTAACGTTCCAAAGACAGTCTGGTTCATACATTTGTTTCCACTTCCACATTTTGCTCCTGAAGTCAGCTGCTCAAACCCAAATAAAATTTAACTAAGCAAAGTCAGCCATGTATTGACTCTTTTTTGTAACAAACACCATTAATGGCACTTTGAACTAAAGCGAATACGGCCAAAGTTTGTTTGTTTGTTCGTTCGGAGTTGGCAGAACCTTGCAGTAGCAGTAATTATGCATTCTCAATTAACTACTGAAATAGTGAAATCCATCCCATTTGTGTTCCACCACGCAAACACAATCTTCAATCTTGATCGACCACACAACAGCAATCTTGGTTCCGGTAAAGAAACCCCCCATTACTGAATTCCCTTAGCCTTAATCTTTAGATGATGAGTTTTCTTACGTACAAATTAATCCCTCATCCGTTTGAAGCAGAGACATGTTCTTTGCACACACACACACAAGATTAATGCCAAGCCACCCAGCTTATTAAAATCAGATGCTTATCTCTTAACACTGTTCTTTAATTTTCAGGTTTCTGGGTAATTCTCTGATCTGGGAAATTCACAGGGCAAGATGCGATTTATTGCAGCTCTTCTCCTCGCCGTCATTTTCCTGCTCCATGGCTCCTGCAGCTCATTTATAGGTAACATACCCGTTTCTTCATTTATCAGTTCGATCCAGTCAATTTTAAGCTGATCAAATTGATTTAATTTCTCCACTGTTACTGCCAGCAGCTGCTCAGCATTTCCCGTTCGTCCACGACGCGACGGTGGCCCCGCCGGTGGTGTACTTCGACTACATCATCATCGGCGGGGGAACCGCGGGCTGTCCTCTGGCCGCGACCCTGTCCCAAAACGCTACCGTTTTGGTCCTGGAGCGGGGTGGGTCCCCCTACCGCGACTTCAACATAACCAACGTGGGCAACTTCGGGAGCACGATCTCGGACACGTCACCGCACTCTGCCTCCCAGATCTTCATCTCGGAGGACGGCGTGTACAACACGCGCGCCCGGGTGCTCGGCGGCGGGAGCGCGATCAACGCCGGGTTCTACTCCCACGCGGAGCCGGAGTTCGTGCGCGACGCCGGGTGGGACGAGGACCTGGTCCGCCGGTCGTACGACTGGGTCGAGTCGAAGGTCGCGTTCGAGCCGCAGGTCAAGCAGTGGCAGTCCGCCGTCCGCGACGCGCTCGTCGAGATCGGCGTCCTGCCGTACAACGGGTTCACGTACAACCACGTCGACGGGACCAAGATCGGCGGGACCATCTTCGACGACCAGGGCCACCGCCACACCGCCGCCGATCTCCTCGAGTACGCCAACCCCTTGACGGTCAAGGTCTACCTCCACGCCACCGTGTCCAGAATTCTCTTCACTAATAAAGGTACGAGTCGAAAACTTTAATCAATTGAAAAAAACGAGACAATTTGATGTCTCATTTTGTAAAATAAATCATTTAGAAGGAGTTAATTCGAATATCTACGCCTATGATTGTTTCATTTCAATCAAACGAATTCTTTCATCCGAATTTTATGTAATCAAACGGGTCAATTTTATCTAATTGTTTTCCCATAAGATAATTAGATCAAATTGATTCGTGTATTGGTTTGATTGATTCAGTTTTGTGACATAACAGGGAGGCAATGGCCGAAGCCAAGAGCATACGGTGTCGTATTCGAAGACGCGTTGGGAATCAGGAAGAGGGCTTTCTTGAGACCAAACCCACAGAACGAGGTAATCTTGACCGCCGGCGCGCTCGGGAGCCCGCAGCTGATGATGCTGAGCGGGATTGGGCCTGCTCTGCATCTGAAGAGCCATGGAATCCATGTGGTTTTGGACCAGCCCAATGTGGGACAAGGAATGGCGGACAATCCGATGAACCTCCTCTACGTTCCTTCCCCTGTTCCAGTCGAGATCTCGCTCATTCAAGTCGTCGGCATCCCTTCCAATCAGAACACCTACATCGAAACCGCTAGCGGGCTGAGCTTCGCTTACTCTTGGGCTCAAGGGTTCGCTCGTGACTATGTCACATTCTTCAATCAGGTTTACAATTTCTTTCAAATTGGATGTGACAAAAAAAAAAAAACGTTACATACCCTGCATTCTCAACAATTGTTTTCCATTTCAGTCGGGGAAGCCATCGTCGTTGACGGCGGAGACGATGGCGAGGGCGATCGACACGGTGCACGCCTACGCCGCCAACACGAGCTTGAAAGGGGGAGTGATACTAGAGAAAGTCAGGGGACCGTTATCTTCAGGGGATCTCAAGCTGCGGAGCAGGAGTCCAAGGGACAACCCTGCTGTCACGTTCAACTACTTCAAAGATCCACAGGACCTCCGCGGCTGCGTGGAAGGGATGAGGAGCATCATCAACCTGATCAACGCGCCGTCGTTCGCTAGGCTCCGGTACGCGCACCTGCCGGTGCAGGCATTGGTGGACTTGATGCTGAATCTGCCAGTGAACTTGAGGCCGAGGCACGTCTCGTCGTCGATCTCGCTGGAGCAGTTCTGCATCGACACGGTGATGACGATTTGGCATTACCATGGAGGGTGTCAGGTTGGGAAGGTGGTGGATCAGGATTACAGAGTTGTTGGTGTTGATGGTTTGAGGGTTATTGATGGGTCGACGTTTCTTAAGTCGCCGGGGACGAATCCTCAAGCTACTGTTATGATGCTTGGAAGGTAATTAAAGTGATTATTTTGAATTGGGTTTTGATTGAATGAAGTTTGTTTGATGTGTGTGTGTGTGTTGATGACAAGAGTTGATTCCTTGCAGATATATGGGAACGAGGATTTTGCAAGGGAGACCGCCGGTCAATTGGAGGAGATTGCAAGGGAGATTTCCGGCGAGTTGGAGGAGACGACCGTGGCTTAGCCACATTCCTAGAAAAAATATGCAGGGGGGAGAGAAGATTAAGCCTTAAAAGACCGGTGTTCTTTAGTGGAATTTTTAAGGGTTGGATTTGGAGGAAGATGTCAATCGATAGGCATATGATAAAATGATGAGGGAAGAAATGTTATGTTTTTTTTTTTTTTTTGGTGAGCAGTTAGATTGGCTTGTTTTATGATTATGTGAGTCATGATAATGATTAGTGTGACAAAGTGATATGAACATTATGTGGTGTTTTGGAATTAGAAAGCTGGATTTACCATTTACTTTGTTTTAAACGGGAAGCGGTATTGTTTTCGTATCGGCAACGACGTAATTTGGAGTATTTCACCCCAAAAAAACGTAATTTGGAGTATTTGTTTAAATTATTATTTTCATTATCTATAAGTTTAATTAGTAGTTTATTTATGTGTTAAATAATTATTAAGTTTCGTAGTTAGTTTGTGATTTGTTTTCTTATTCGTAGAAGTTTAGATTTATGTTTTTGATATCTTTTATAAATAGAGGGTGTAAGACCTACGAATTTTGTACAAAATACCCAATATTCAAATAAACTTATAGGGGTCGTTTGGAGAACATGATTAAGGACATGGATTCACTGAATCCGTAGATTTTGTAGAAAGTTATGTTTTTTTTTGTTGCTTTCTGTATTGTGGATTCTAGCTTTAGAGATTTCAAATCTCTAAAATCTGCGGATATCAAATATCTCATAATCTGAGAGATTATATATCTTGATTCGTGAGACTTTTTTTCTCCTAGTTTTTCACTTATTTTTATTTATTTATCACATGAAATATATCTATCAACAAAGTTTTCAATATTTCTTGAACCACTCTAATTTTTTTATTAAGGATACAAATTTTATTTGATATAAAATTAAATTTTTTATTTTAATTGAATGTTAACAATCACAGTTACCAAACAACAAACATTTTAAAATCTGTTTTCAACAATCTGGAGAGTTAGAATATTTAGATTGTTGACAATCTGTAGATTTAAACTCATATTCTCCAAACGACCCCTTAGAGTTTTTACTCGTGTTCATTCGTGAACGTTTGTGCAAATCCTTCTGTCGAGGATTCCAGGAGATTTTCACGTGTATCTTATCAATAAGAGAACGCGTCTAGTTGTGGCGAGCATCTACCGAATAGCGATTGGCCTTATCTGCGAGTGGCTGATTGCTTGATTGGTTTCGTATACCAGTTGGCCGTTCACACGAGTTGAGATCCGTTTCATCGTGTTCCACCTTATCCTTCATTTCGAGTTGATGAAGAAGAAATCAAGAAAATATCGTTGAAGCTGCGTACTTTGATCATATCACCCGAGTTCGAGACGAAAGTCTGGAATTTGAAGTTTGGAACCATTGTTGAAAGGCCAATACTGGGTTGGGAGTTTGGGACTCGGGACCAAAGATGGAGAAGACAACAGAATCTATTCAATCCTTTTAAAGTAGAGATTTTGGGGAACCAAGTTCGTGCTGCCAAGTCTATCATCCGTTGAAACTTGGTATATCCACAGGCATAAACCATGCATCCCTTCCCATATCTCAGACTTTCCTGCCCTTTTTATATACCAAAACAACAACCCAAAAGAAAGAAGATGTGCAGGACTAAACTGCGAAACCCAGATGGAAACCATGGATGGGTCCATTATATGATCATAAGCAAAGCAGTCGTAGGGCACCTCTGACTTGGCAAGCAAGCAGGCCGTCCGGCGCGAAAGGGATCATCTCTCTCAAGTTCCAGGGTACATTGCTGGCTGTGGGGCTTGCCAAAGGAGAGTTGCCCTGTGACTGCGTTTCTGCTTACTTCCTAATCCATAATACTTACTTCTTCTGCCTGGGTTCATTTTCATGGTAAGCTGCATACAACAACACATTTGACATTTTGTTCCTGTTTCCGTTCATCTTTGATATAAAGTTTTTCTGGTTGCTTTTGTTTGTGCCCAATATGCCTGAAGACAAAAAACATGAACAAAACTAAGGCTGAACGAAATGCCAAGTGGGTTGATGATCGGAATTTTCTTTCCCTTTATTACATTTCAAGCTAATGCAAACATGGAGGAACCCAACGAGACGGGTAGGTTTGAGACAACAAAAAAAATACAAGATGGAGACACCTGCTAACTGTCATTCTTGGGTGGAAATATTTCACGGCCAATTGTCAAACATATGATGTATCGTTTCTCTTCATTATTATCGCAATCTCAGGCGAATAATACTAATCGGCATTCAGTTTTTCCCCATTTTGCCTGCTTGATCAAATCATTGTCGCCGTGATGTATGGCTTTCTTTCTTGGTGCGCTGCTTTTTCCCTCACAGACTGACACGCTTGAATAGCAGAGCATGTCCTTCCGATTTCCCAATCACCTGCATTCAAGGAAAAAAGGAAATACTCAAATCAACGATGCTGGCGCACCCAAGTTATAGCGCCTGCAGAATTTCCTTCTTTCTTCAGCTGGCCAAAGAAAAGTTCAGAAAAAGGAAACCCATGAATGGGGGGAGATGGCACTTTGCAAGGAAAAAGTGCAGATGAAATCATTCAAAATCTTAAGAGCCTTAAATCGGAAGCAAGCAAATTGAAAGGCCAAACCCCACCAAAAAAGGATGCAACTTTATATGTTTGATAGAAGGCAATAATAAGATGTGCTTTCGCTTTGTTGCTCCCCACCATTGCTTACCGCATTCACACACCTCCCTAAAAAGAAAAGCGTAAAGATAAAAGGGATCCCCCCCAATCCTTAATCATCGCTACCTGTTCTGTTTCTACTTTCTGACCACAACCCATCAAGAATTCAAAATGCGAATAAACAGATGAAGAGCTAGACTACCTTCAGGTTGACCGATGCAGTGAAATGAAATTCACATGCCATGGGAGAAGAAGACCAAAGTCTCTTGTAACGTCAGAATGTTACTCAGTTATGGCTGTGCATGGTTCGAGCAGGTCTTGAATCTGTTACCTAACAAACACAGACCATGCTGCAGAAGAAGAAGAACCTGATTTTCCATATTAGCAAGTAATGACATTGCTGTCTCAATCACTGAATATGTTAAAGAGTTAGATTTCTAGCTAAAACTAGCATTTTCACGGCTAGCGGCCAAGCAGAGCGCAGTCAACAGGGGGACAGGGGGAGAAATGGTCAGTCTTAATTATTAGACTAATTCAATGGAAGTTGTTTCTTGCACAACCTTTCCAAATGGGCCATCCAGTCCCTATCATCATCATTAATTGTTAAAATAATGACTGAAATTAATCTCCCCGGCCAGACTCATTCTAAACAAAGTTGAGATAATCACTTCACCATATAAAGCAGTGGATGGACAACCAGAAACCAACAAGGCACCACTCACAAAGGGAGACAAGAGAGAAAATTGTAGAGTTGTAAGTGAGAGAAAAATAGAGAGGGAGAGAGAGAGAGATGCAGTCACCTTGTTTAAACGACTTCCCTGAAGCATTCCTTCTTCAAGGCTGCTGTCCAGGCCCTCTCCTGGGCTATCCTGAGCCCCTCAACAAACCTCCTGACAGCAAGAAATCGTCAACCCTCTCCGCTGCCGCTACCACCTTGGCCACCAGTCGTCGGAACTTCACCACTGCAACTAATTCATCCATTTCCCCCACAACCCAGTTCACAAATCCCGACTCTCTACCCTCTCTGCTCGATGCATTCACAGAGTTCGCCAGAGCTTACCCGCACTACTCCGCAACGCACGAAGTGGATAAGATTCGAAGCAAAGATTACCAGCACCTCTCGAAATCCAACCACACTTGCCTTGACTACATCGGCATTGGCCTCTTCTCCTATTCCCAAGTGCAATCAGGTGATCAGATAGAACAAGACATCGGTACTTCTTCATCTTATGCTTCTCCTTCACCACAACTTCAAAGTTCGAATCTTCCCTTCTTTACCGTGTGTTACAAGACAGGGAGTCTGAAGACACAACTCCTCCATGGTGGTCAGGAATCGGAACTTGAATCCGCCATGAAGAAAAGGGTCATGAGTTTCCTCAATATATCAGCAAAAGATTACAGTATGGTTTTCACTGCGAATAGGACTTCTGCTTTCAAACTTCTTGCGGAGTCTTACCCTTTCAAGTCCTCTAGCAAGCTCCTCAGTGTCTATGACTATGAAAGCGAGGCGGCGGAAGCCATGACTAAAATCTCTGAAAAGAAAGGAGCCAAAATCATGTCAGCAGAATTCAATTGGCCTAGGCTGCGGATTAACTCAACCAAGCTGAAGAAGATGCTTGTGAGGAGTAGAAAGAAGAAGAGGAAAAGAGGGCTTTTCGTCTTCCCGCTTCATTCGAGGATGACAGGAGCTAGATATCCATATTCATGGATGAGAACGGCCCAGGAGAATGAGTGGCACATACTGATTGATGCTTGTGCATTGGGACCAAAGGATATGGACAGTTTCGCTCTCACCCTCATTCGCCCAGATTTCGTCGTCTCTTCCTTCTACAAGGTCTTTGGGGAGAACCCATCAGGGTTCGGATGTCTCTTTGTCAAGAAATCCACCATTCCTTTTCTGGAAGATTATACAGGTGCTGGAATGGTGAGCCTCCTTCCAGGAAAGAAGATCCATTTGCAGGATGAACCTTCTGGTGGAGATGTTGAAGTTGAATACATGCCGAAGCTCGGGTTGGAAGAAGAAGCTGAGTTGGATACATCAAATTCTTTCTCAGGTCCCATACTAGAAAAAGGAGAAGCTCCAGAGAGGCAAACTGCAGATATATCTGTCAAGAACGAAGAGTCGGAAACTACTGGAACATGGACACAAGCTAGCATTGTTCATGCAGAGAAGTCTGGATACAGAAATAAGCAAATATCAAAGATTGAATGCAGGGGTTTGGATCAGGTGGATTCATTAGGGCTGACTGAGATCAGTAGCAGAGGAAGGTGCTTGATCAATTGGCTGGTGAACGCTTTGATGAAGCTTAAGCATCCAAACACACAGGAAACTCCCCTTGTAAGAATATATGGACCAAAAGTGAAATTCGACAGGGGGCCTGCTTTGGCTTTCAATGTATTTGATTGGAAAGGAGAAAAGATTGAAGCTACCCTGGTGCAGAAATTAGCTGATAGGAGCAACATTTCTCTTGGCTACGGATTCTTACACCACATCTCATTCCCAGACAAGTATGAAGCAGAGAAGGCAGCAGTTCTGGAAACCAAAGGAAGTCCAGGGAAGGGAATGGCAACAAAAAGGAAAAAAGATAAACGGGACTTGGGAATCATGGTTGTCACAATTGCACTTGGGTTCTTGTCAAATTTTGAGGACACTTACCGGCTTTGGGCTTTCACAGCTCAGTTCCTAGATGCTGACTTTGTGGAGAAAGCAAATTGGCGGTATACAGGTCTAAACCAGAAAACTGTTGAAGTGTAACTAATTCACTTGTTCTATGTCGATTGAATGAGACTGTTTCTTGGTAAAGCATTATACAAGAAGACATTTGAAACCAATCATCCTTTCAAGCTTCAGAACCTTGCAATTTCAGTATAAAGTTTAACCTTGCAAGGTTCTAAATCTTGAAGGTTGCAGACTTGCAGTATACCAGTTTCTTCAAGACACACGTATGATCCAGCATTGCCTATGTGTGTTTCTTGTTTTCCAGTGACAGAACAAGTACCATTTGTGAAATATAAAATACAGTGCGCCTCTAAGAAGGAACAGAAAAGCTCTGATGCCACCCATTTGTGCACCCAGGTTGCATGAATATGTGACTGAACAAAAATGAAGTATACTACATCTTGCAAAACATGCGAGGAAAACATCAAACAGGTGAAATGTTAAACTGCAAAATGTAAGAGAGCTCAAAGGTCAGGTCTTTGCAACATATTCCCTCCCACCTAGTCTGTTTCATTCTACCCAAGTATGCCACTCTTATTAGCTTTGGCTTTAGAACTACCACTCAAGTATATCAAGAGAGTATAGTAAGTGCGCTTCCCTTCACCAATGTCGACACTTTCATCATAATGATGCCCAAATCGCTGACCAGCCTTGTACCTGAACAAAAGCATATAGCTTTAATGGCACAATATAATCTCCCCCAAACTTCATAACTGATTACAGTGTATAAGTTGGTTTACCTGTAGAATCTGATGTTTGGGTTCAACCCAACAGCAACCGTGCCCCTAATCTTGATGTCAGAGAACAATTTGCTAAGCCCAGAATCCCAAAGCGTGTTTGCGAGAACAGGGTCGTTCACGGAGATCCTGTCATTGTCTCTGTACGCTTCTCCCTTCGTCGGACCAAGACTGCCCTGATGAACGAATCCAATCGACTCTGAAATTCTAATGAACGCCTTCGATTCAGCTGCTGACAAGAATTCTGGCACCTAGAAAACACATTAATTCAGTCTTTGGGCGGAGAAATCAAAATCTCAAGAGCGAAAATCTTGATTCTCAGCAAACTAGGTTCCCAAAATCAATGCTTAGCTACAGGCTAAATTACACGTTTGATCACTCAAATTATACAAATCTTTCACATTTACTACCATAATTATTTTTCTTTCTTCGTCACTAACTTTACGAATCGTTTCACCGTTAGTCACCGACCGTTAGACTCTAGGAGTGAACAAACACACTTAATAATATTTCATAAAAGGTATCTATGTAACCACGATTATAGGACCAATCATATATAACATGTAATATTTTATCCCTAAGAACTCTTTTAAGACCTTTTTTAGCAAACGAATTAAAGAAGTTCAAATTTTGAAATGATGAATAAACAGGCTTATATAAAGAAGACGCTATAAATATTCCAAAATAAGCTATACTGACTGAAAAGGTTGCGTTTGTTAGAAATTCCGACCAATCGGAAGAATTTTGTTCATTTTTTTGAAAAAAGTTTAAAGACGGCATTAACAATTTGGATAATATATCCAAATTCATTCCTTCTTGATTGAATTCATTGAACGGGATTCCTATGCCTGCAATAAACAAAGTAAATAATCCCAATACAAGAATCGGAAATAACATAGTCTTATCTGATTCCTGGGGATAAAAAAAAAAGCCTTTAGTGCTAAAATGATTAGTAATAATAAAGGGCCATCCCCTTTTTCTTTCATTACTCTCAATTGGATATATATTTTTCCAAGAAAAGAAAACCCTTTCATTAGTATTAATTTTTAATAAACTTAATAAACGGAATTTTTTGTTTAATTTAAACATTTTTTTATTCTTCATTACCCCATAGAGATATTGAATAGAATGAACTATTTTTTTTTCCACTGTAACTTTGAAAATGAACATTTAAATGTCCTTCAAAAGTAAGTAAATAAACCCGAAACATATAAAATGCAGTTAATCCTGCTGTGGAACAAGCTATTATTGCAAAACTAGGTGAATACAACCAACTATCATTAAGAATTTCGTCTTTGGACCAAAAGCAGGCGAGGGGCGGAACACCACAAAGTGAAAGAGTTCCTAATGTGAGAGAAAGAAAACAAGCATTTGTTTCACTAGAGAGAGGCATACATATAGTGGGTGAGGGTAAGGATAGAGAATAATTGATGACAATACAAGCTCTCTGTAGGACTTAGATTCGCATATTAATTATGTGCCAACCCACTAGAAATCAACTAAGACTATAGAATTCATGATTTTTACATGTGATGTGAACTCAGCTGGATTAAGACCTCATGACCAATACAATCAAAATTGTATTTTAAAACTTAAAAACTAATGCTTTTACACATATAGGGCATCAAAACGCTTTAACTTAAAATCACACTTTTCTCTTGCAACTTGCAAGTGTAGTAAAAATCTATGTTTTAAAACTTACAAACTTATGTTTTATGTTTCTTGGTCACCAAAATGATTTTACGTAAAATCACGATTTTGACTGCATTGCTCATGACTTGATTGGAAGAGATAGATTCGATAAGATTATTGAGGGCACTGGTACAAGAACTTTTAGTAATAGAATCTTTGAATTTTGTAGACAATTTCATTTTGGTGTAAGGGACCGAAGAATTGGAGGTGGACAGTTAGTAAATAGTTCGTTTAGACACACATATGATTGTACGTATTTTATCCGTTAAAACTTTCGTATCCGTATTATTGTTAACTCGTTCCATTTTTCTCCGTTCATTTAATAACCCTCGTATTAAACATTAACATGAATAGAACCCATATAACACGTTTAATATTCATATTCAATAAATTAAATTGCTAACATAACTATTATTTATATATTAATTCATTTTAAAATAATTAATTTTATATAATTTATAACTATTGACGTACTAATAAATGTACCATTAGTTTGTAGATGAAGTCAAATATATGTACGTATTTTAAGAACATACCCGTACCGCATTTTACTAACTATGATGGAGTAATAGGATGTCATTTGAGAAAATTTTAGTGGATTGAGGTGGGAGAGAAATACATGTAATTTTCTTTTATACGAAAAATTTGAAATAAAAAATAAATTTAGATAAATTTATGTATAAAATTGGTCACAAATTGTTCGTTCGAGCTATTAAATTTTGTTATTTTTTTTTTATCTAGATGTACATATTGAGTTACAAAAAAGAGTCTTGGTAGTATATTTAATAATTTTTTGAACACAATAGTATATTAATTGTTTAATATGCTCTAAACATTAAACACAAAAAGAGAACAACCACGGCATAGAGAAACCTTCAATTGATATAATACAATCAATGAAAAAGGGTTAATATACCTCCATCACCTATGAAACTATACTAGTAAATCACTAATCCATCGCGAGAAGGCTTTAGTGGGTTCGACCGAGACCAGGAAACTGAGCAAAATCATCAAATCTGAACGTTGGGATTTCAATCTTTTCTTTCTCCAACACCATACCATTGTCCTCGTTCTTCAATGCCTTCATCTGCTTCTGCTTGTTCAACCCCTCATTATTAGACTCAGAAGATCTGTTTGCCTTAGAATCCCCACCATGTCGAAACGGTTTCGAGTTCGAACCGTGGGCCGTAATCCTCATCTGATGATCACCACCACCGCCGCCGGAGCTAAACTTACCCTTATCATTACTAGTATTGCTGCCGGACGACAACTTCTTCCCCTGCAGTCGGTAGTTTTTCAGCAACGACGGCGGCGACTTGTCAACCTCACCCTTACCATTGTTCCTATTGTCTTCAGTGCTACTTCCGTGACCAAGAACAACAAAATTGGACTTTTGGGGCTGATGCTTTTGCTTGGAGGCTTGCTCTTCCTCCTGACGCTGCTTGTAATTCTCATACCACCGGCTCACTTGTTCCTTCTTCTGCCCGCCGCCGCTCTTCTTCTGCTGCAAGTAATGGTCCTTGTTGGCGTGATTGACGATCTCCAGCGTGTCTGCGTCGGCCAATATGGCGAACGAGTTCTTCGGCGTCAGAGACATTGTGGTCGATCGACGAGTTGGGAATAGATGATTTTCGGAACGTTTGCCTGTGGAATTGAAGAGATTGGAGGATTTGGAAGTTATATAGATTGTAAAGTGTCTCTGTTTCGGGTATGGAATTCAGTAGGTCGGTGTACAGAGCAGAACAGAGGAGATACAGGGGAGGAGAATGTGGCTTCCGATTCCGACTTGGGGAAGGATTTCTTAACGACGCCGTGTTTCTATTTTGGGCCCGGGTTTGATGGGCTTGGCCCATTCAAAACCACGTACCAGTCTGCGGGGAAAAGAAAATAAGACTTGGAATCCACCTTCCTACATTTTTCACAAGCACAAGCTTGACTTGATATAATGTAATCAAATCAGAAAACATAATACTTAAGTGACGGATAATTGGTTCGGTTCGGTTATAACTGGAACCGTTTAGTTGATTCTCGATTAACCGTTTAATATTTTGTGCTTATCGTTAACCGGACCATTTATATTAGTCGGTTAATCGTAATCGCATAGTCGGTTCTCGGTTATTTTGTCGGTTAACTGGATAATCGTTAAGCAAGTGATTTATCAAGGTTATACAAAATAATTGATCGGTAACATAACCAACGAAACACCTCGTCCTTTTTCCAATTGTGCATTTTTGTAGATTTTCTCCTAAATACGTATGTGTTATTTCTTTAAGTTGTTATCAATGAATAAAAAAAAATTAACATAGATATCAATCTATAATCAATTCGATCAAACACGAGTACACAATAACATTATTATACCGTTAAATTTTATTTAAGAAACAGATAAGAATAAGAGACCCAACAACAATTACTCAACTCATGAAGACATAAACCAACCACATTACATGGAAGTTTAGATGTTAATGATTGTTGTCAAGCTACTATAAGCAAGTCCAACTTTCTACTGTGCTCGTTCTAAAACTATTCTTCGAAAATATTCTCATTTGAGCCACTATTACAAATAGGTTAAGCCAGGGGCGGAGCTACTAAGTAACTAGGGTGGGCCCCGGCCCCCCCGGGAATAGTCCCGGCCCCTAGGATCTTATGAATATTTAAATATAGTTTGGATAAGTAAGCTTGATAGTGTATTGTCACATTAATTAATCACGTAGTCCAACGGTAGCTACACCAATTTTTTGACTTGAATCACCCAAGTTCGATCCACATCTACCACTGATTTTTGCTTTTCCCACATTGTACCCTAGGGCCTAGACTAACGAAAAAGCCACAAACTAAAAGACCAAAACCCAATCAAATTCATTCTTTTCATTTTTTATAGAACGTGTATCGGAATTGACAATGAAGAATTGTCGAGCAAATTTTATTTTGTGGTTGATATGTCTTATTTTCGCTATATGTGATTTTGCATTTTCTGATGTGAAGAATAGATGTGA